CAGGCAGAGGGAGCTGAAAGGATCTGGCTGGGAGACAGGCTGACTTCTGAGAAGGACGGCCAGGGCTGGACTAGCCCAGCAGCCACAAGGCTCATGTGAGCCTCTGAGGGAACTGAGCAATTCTAAACTCAGAGAAGCAGAAGGACAAACATTGGCCCACAAAAGGTACTCGCCTACTCATAGTTAGTGTGGCCATGAACCAGCTAGGGCCCTGGGTGCTGCTTCCAGTGGCACGTACACACACACACACACACACACACACACACACACACACACACACACCAGCATACGGCTGCGCTTGTGGACAGGGCACTGTAGGGAACAGAGGAAACTCAGCGCTGGAAGGTAAGAGACTGGGGAGCTCCAGCAACAGTTGCCGCATAGGAAAGGCAGATGCAGCATTGCCACACTGCCCACCCCCACAAGAGGCTAACATCTGGCTTTTATGTGGAGTCTCCCAAGTTTAAAACAGGAGATAGGGAAGGAGGATAAGATGCTTATCCCACAAATATGAGGCCCAAAGTTGGGGGCGTCTCCAGAATCCACATAAAGGTGGGTTTGTCAGCCTTCCTGTAATCCCAGCAGAGGCAGGGAATCCTAGGGCCAAGCTGGCTAGCCAGAATAGCCGAAATGGCAAGCTCCATCCAGACAAAGACCCAGTTCTAATAGAGATGAGGAGGAAAACACCTTGGATGCATATGCCCCTCCAAACACAAACAGATGGGATCAGACTTTGTTAGAACGTTGTAGGCTAAACCTGTCGGGCCACACACTGAGCCACCACTTAACAATAACATTATTTTGAAGCTTCCTCTACTTACCTTTATTAGTTTTAGCAAGGGACTTCTAAAAACTTGCCCTCTTGTCTCGGTGGGGCAAGACAACACCTATCATCCTTCCCACCTGGCCTGGACTTACACTTGTGGCAGGAAGTGGGCATTGGGAGTCAGGGGTTGTCTGTAATAAACTGGCCTGTGCAGTCTCCAAAAGATGAGTGGGGCTGGGAGGTACGTTAAACGTGCCATTTCCTAGGCTCACCCTCCTTCATTGAGGCTGCACCCCTGTGGTTGAGTCATGACTGGGCGGGAGGCAGGCATGATGTGGGAGAACACAGCATCTCATAGTGGAAGAGCACAGGTTGAAGTCAGGGTCGTCCTAGACTGGGAAGCTGATACATCAAAATTGGGTTAGAGGGCAAGTCATGGAGGAGGATGCCAGTCTATAGAGAGGGGGAACCAGGCCAGGCTGAGTAGACCCACAGGAGTCTTGGTAAACAGGATTCAAATGTGTACCTAAGAACACGGCAGGCTGTGGACAAGGCAGGCCCAGAGGCCAGAAAAGGAGCAGTCGGGCTGGGCCGGGTCAGTGTGTCAGAGAGCTGAGCTACAGAGGTGGAAAAACTTGAATGCTTATATTTTTGGCTAGCTATGAAACTTTCGCAAAATGGGCCACTGAAGTCAGCTTCTTCTGCCAATTGGCCCAGTTGTAGGTCCTGTGCTGGCAGGTAGAGCTGGATAAGAAAAAGGGAGAAGGCGGCTCTGGGTCCCAGGCAGCTCACATGCAGCAGGACCTCCCAGCCCCACTCATGTGCTCTGTGGAGTTGGTGCCAGGCTGGAGGGGTGGCTCCGGGTGCAGGCAGGCATATTAACAGCTCTCACTTATGTGTCCAAGATTCGCCAGCCCATCACCTATGACCCAGGCTCATGGCCCCAACATGTTTCTTATAAAGTCCTCTGAGCCAACCAGTACAAAGGGGCAGTGAGGGCATAGGTGACCTCTGTGCCCTCCCCATCTGGGAATGTCCTTACTTTTCTCTACAGGCAGAAAACCCCAGGACTCACTCATCCCCCAACTTCCAGCCTTTGTATCTTAATTCTACACACTCCTGCCAGCATTAGAAGGGCATGTCCTTTTCTCTTAAAATTAGCCTAATTTTGAGTATTTCAGGAAAACTAAAAAACCTAGAGTGAAAACCTAGATTAGCTAAAACTGAGCAGACCCTCCTGGAGAGAGTGACGTAAGAATGACCAAGCAGGAGCCAGCCCCATGGCCTACAACCAAAAGGACACACCAAGTTATTAGATAAGAAGCTCCTTAAAATTTAATTGACTGCGTGTATTACATTCAATATCCCGTGGGTTTCTTGTGGACGGAGGACAGGCATAAATACGAACCTCTGCACCTTCTTCCCAGGCTAGCGCAGATCCAACACAGGCAGCGAGGGACACAGGCACACCTTCATATTTACATCTCCTTTACTTTACAGATCAGTGGCAGAAATATTTACAGAAAATACAATAGGAAAAAGATCCCATCTTGGCAATATACCGAAATTCATACAAACTGTAAATATGGTTTCGAGCAAATAATGATACTTAGATTTTAGCCACAACTGCCAAGCCCTTCAGAGGAAGATGCATTGGTCACTGTGGGGACAAAGAACTTGATTTGCTTCAACAAATAGGTATTGGGCGCCTACCATATGCAAGGCACTGTGGAATCCCAAATTACACATTTCCTCTCATCACTAAAAAACTTGTCTGAAGAACAAGGGTGGCTGTTCTGAGAAAACACTATGCAGTGCCTGGCTCTGCCAGCAGTGACACAAATGACTCCACTGCCAGGCGGACCCCTCAGGAAGAGGGGATGTCAGGGAGTGCTGAGAACAGACCAGCGGGTGCCAATGGTCACCGTTAACACCAAAGATCCGGCCTGAACAGCCTTTACATGCTAATGGACAACTGACGCCAGGAGAGTGTCAAATGTCCTCTAGGACAGTTGTCACCACCTGCCCAGCTCTGCCCAAGGCTGACTCTGTGGGGAAGTTCCACACCCTGGAAAACTCATCACTGGAGAGGTCACCCTGCAGAACCTGATTCTCCCCTAATGCAGACAGGGAGCCGTTCTTCCAGGCTGTCCTACTACCTGTGAGCCAGACACCGACAGGGCCAGCCAAAGTGTAGGTGTTTTTATGGGTGAGCCCCATGATGGAGCTACCCTAAGATCGGGGAGCTGAAGAGGGAGATGCTCATATACACATGTGCATGGCACATGCATCTGTATGGCTGGGAAGGCTGCCCTACCACTGGAGTTCTTTCTTTTCAAGGAGCCAAAGGCCAGGAGGTCTTAAGAGGAAACTCTAGACAAATGGGAAAGGTGGTAGCAAGGTTTGAAGAGGTTAAAAGCCCCGTCTCCTGTGCTCCCAGGCAAAGGAGCAATCCCCTACTCCCGCCCCCAGTTTCAGAAGTGAACAGGAGGGGGCTGCCAGCCTAAATACCCTTAGTAAATGTTCCTCTTTGAGAGTGCCTAGGCATCCAAGTACAGCAACCGAACAGTTTAAACCACAGTCCAGATTGGTTCCAGTGTTTCTTCAAAGTTTCTGAGCCTGTGTGGGCAAATTTATCAAGTGAACTTCTAAGATTATTGTAAGTACTAAGTATGTTCCTCTGACAAGATTCTGTTCAAAGTGATCTCAGCGCAGGCAGGAGGGTGAACTCAATGAGCAGGATTCCAAACCACACTCTGAGCCCCAAGGCTCTTATCACACCCTCTGGTAGGTAGATGGTGTGTGGAGCAGAAGGACCCAGTGAGGGGGCGCATCCCAAGTTCTGTTGGCTGTACACACTAGGGCTTCCCTCCCTTCTTGGGGAATCACCATGTACCCCAGATGTCAAACTACATCTGCCATTATTGTTCTCTCACCAAAGTTATCAAAATTATAAAGAGTTAGAAATTAGAGCCAACCGAAGGGGAAGGGCCAGAAAGCCCACCCCCCACATAAATCCCATACGTCACCCTTCTGGTATTATTTAAACAATCCCCAGAGTAGGAAAGAAGTACATCTTTATCAGTTATCTGTAGCCTCTGGAATGTTCTAAGTTGCACATGTATGTACACCTCACATAGAACATAAAATGAAGTGTCAGTCTGGAAGGATCTTAAAGGTTGTTCAATTTCACCTCTTCTTGCTGAATTACTAGAATACTTTTAGGGAAAACCTCACTACTAATTTTTAACATTCCTTACCCCATGGTATCACCTGAAGACATTAGATTATTGCCTGGCTTTAAAAAAAAAAAATCAAAGACAGAACACTATGCCTTGAATGGAAACTAGACTCACAGTGGGAAGGAAGAGGATGACACCAAGGACAAGGAAGATTGGAGGAGGGGGGGGGCCTGTACCTGAGTAGAGAAAAAAAAAGGGGGGGTTGTGGCAAACTTCAGCCTACGGGATGCTATACCCATGGTTCTTGCTCAGGGACCGCAGAAGACATACTTCTAGAATGGAGGCACCTGCACAGAGGAGCAGGTATAACACTGCCCCTAAACCAAACAGTAGACCCTGATCTGCAGATTTTAATGACAACGGGGGAACAGCCCTGTTAATCTCTGATTATTCCTCTTTGGACTATATATGTCACTTGTTTTCTAAGACAAATAACCTTACTGAAGGAGTAAGAACATAAAAATTGGAATATAGTGAACACTGTAACAGGAGTCCTAAAACAGTTTGGTTCTGGCCACCTCCTATGCTTAGTCCCTTGCAGAAAAACAACAGTCAAGTGACTGAAATATTCCAGAGTCCTGGCAGGGACTTGTACCTTCAGCTGGCTAAGACCAGGAAACATAACAGCAGCTGCCACCTATGGAGATGACACCGATTCTGCAGATGGTGAAGCAGCTGCTCTCTAAAGAGCTGAGAGTGGGACACTTCCTCCTGAACCACAAATAGAACCCTCCAAGAACTACTGCAGCTTGCTGCTTGGTCCTGAAATAATTTTCAGCCTGTTGTGAACTCCCATTATTGGTATTTAATCAAGAAACCATGTCTACCCTATCATCAGGCCATCGAACTGAACAGTAATGGAGAAAGGAGGCATCGTTGCTCACTCACAGCCATTAGAGTACACAGCTGTGCCTCCATGCCATCTGTCTGCTAAGAAGCTGAGGCCATATGACAGATCTCCACAGCAGAGAGAGGGACAACTTGCTTAAACATGGAGAAAAAAATAGGAAATATTTTAATGTCAGACTCATCTGAGTAAAACCCTTTATGTTTCACCTGTCAGTATGACAGGTAACAAATAGATCGAAACATGAGCACAAAGCTGCTACCTCCTCCTTCACGGTGTCAACTTGAGCCTTAAAAAGTTCTGGAAGGTTCTGAGACTGATTTTAATTTTGAATACACCCTCCTAAAAAGCGAGGTATAAACTATCTTCAGCTCCTACCTTGCAAGCCTGTTGACACTACCAATGCATGTATTTAACTGATGCATAAAAGCCTTTATCCTTAAAAGGCTTATATTTACTAAAATTGTCACTTTAAAAGAAAGTTTATGGCTAAAATGCTTGTTGTCCTTTTCAGCAGGAGTGTGACTGTGTGAGGTCCATCATCAGAAAGCAGGCAGTCCTCGAGCCAGAGGCTTCACATCGTGGTTCTGGTGATTCAACAGTGAGTTCTTGGGAGTGATTCGCTTGGGTTTTTCAGGACTGTCTTGCTCTGATGTCAGAGCCCATTCTGCAGTCCACTGCCCTGGGCAGACTGTGCTCTAAGAGCTGCAGTTCTGGAGCCCAACCTCCTGGAAAAGGGCAGTATAAAACTCTGGCTCCAACTGCTTATTCCGGTATCTGTTGACAATGTCAGTGATTTTCTGTTTCCGACGGACATGTGGTGGACTGTAGGAATCACTCTCCAGTCTCTTTCTTCTACAAATATTTATTACAGTCTGCCGCACCAGAAAGCCTTGAAGACAGGTGAGAATAACTGTCAGTAAGCTGTCAGGTGAGCTATGTTCAGGGGACCCATTTTCTCAACTCTGGAACTCTTTCACTGCAATCCCATGGTTTCCCACCTCAGAGACAAACACAGCACCAAGATGAAACTGCTGAGAGACATTTGCTCAGGACAGAGTCAAAGCCTGCTCTTCCACAGCCCATCTTCTCTGTTTTCCTCTTTAGTTAGGTAGTTAATTCATTCAGTTAGTGAAGGCCTTTTTATATTACCAGATTAAAGCTTAAACAGCAGCATTTTCTATATGCAGCGACTATTAAGACCATCTCCTTACTTGTGTTTATGAAAGTGTTAAAGAAGGCAAACAGCGATACAGTTGCTGGCATCCTATGGTACAATAACCTCCAACCCACAGCCATACATGGGGCCTATCTAAATTCAGTGGGACACACACCATAAAATGTTGACAGGGCCTCAGTAGAACAAAGAGGAATGAGGCAATGTACTGTGAAGTGAAAAGGAACTAAAATTCATTAAATACATCTATGAAATTATCAAAAAAAAATAAGAATAAAATTTAAAGGTGAAGGAAAACAAAGAAAGTCAGGACTGCTGTCCTTCAGGACACGCAGCACTTACCCAGGGCTCGCCGGCTGACTATCATCCCATCAACAAGGGGGATGACCATGTTAAATTTTCCAGTGGCTCCTTGGATTTTTATCCGGAACAATCCAGTGTTTAAAGGGTGGATGAAGATTACTGGGACTTCTTTTTCAAGAGTTGTAGATCTTAGAAAAGATAAGTCCTGTTAGTTCAGACACAAGAATCTTTTCTATGAGGTTTAAGAACACGTATCAGGGCCTGGGACCTGTTGTCAGCATGGCTGCGACAGTGTCAAGACAGAGCCCAGAGTACAAGCAGTAACAGCAAAAGCCCAATATGGGAATTATATATATACATACGTATAAGTTACGCATATAAAGATAAATTCTTCTACATAATAGAATTTATCTGAAGAACATAAAATAAAGTCAGAGATTAAATATGGAAACAGGAAGGTTTTTGGTGGAAAAATACAAAATTTCATTTATGCAGAACAAGTAAGTCCTAGAAGTTAAGTGTTCATTATACTGAGTAAGGCTGTAATACTGCATTACATTATTAAAAGTCTAAGAGGGCAAAGCAAATAGTAATAGTAATAATAATAATAATAACAAATGGTCTCAAAAAACAAAAAAATAATAAATTATAGGTACTGTGAGTGGTATGAGACTTCTAGAGGTGATAATGTATGTTTACAGGATATAGTGGTGATGGTTTCATATGTAAAATATACCTCCAAATTTAAGACTGAACACGCCAAATATGCACAACTTTTTGTATAACAATTGTATTTCAATAAGTTAAGTTTTTAATTTTGTTTTTTCCTGAGCATTTCACATGCTGGCTTTTTCCCTCTTCAGAGCTCCTGGGAAGACTGGGAAACCAAAGAACAGCTTACAGCTGTATCTCCTAGTCTATCACATATTTAAACATGGAAAAAGGGGCCACATAAATGCCATCTTGCCAGCCCTTTCTTTGATTCTTTAAAATTTTTATTTTTTTTAAATTTGTATCTTCTGCAAAAACAAATGTTCTTAACCACCAAGCCATCTCTCCAGGTCCTGATTCTTTCCTTATTTGCCTTTAACCACTGTTTGATTATAATTCTTTATTCTTTTATTAAGTGTAACCAACAGATACAAACAGACATGCTGATGAACTCAAGCAAAGAAGAGGACAATACCTCAGAGAAGTGCTACTGTTAGCGGTAGTTTCCACACCAGTGCTGATCTCTGTCATCAGATCTGACAGGGGAAAGTTTTCTAGAAAACAACAACATTACAGTTACCACCGCCTGATTTTCCCGAATTCATTTCCTAACCTCTTCACAGGCAGCAACAAGTACCATCTGTGCTGCACCACAGTGTGGAACCCTAATGACTCCCCACAGAAAAACAAGCTGTCTTTCACAATGTTTGGCCAAGTGCACCGAAAGCAGAGGGCTTTCAGAGAATGTGGCCTGTGGCTGTGAGGGCGTGCTCAGAAGTAGAATGACACTTTCCTATAAACCCTGAGCTGGACAGGGTGCTAAGCTAAGCATGCATTTCTGATGCTCTTGAGTCAAACGAAAATCCTAAGAAAGTTATCCATGGCAGAACTTTTAAAGACAAAGGAAGCAATTATATAAAAACGAGACCACCTGTGCACATGGAAAGATGGCCCAGAGCTCCTGGGAAGGCTGGGAACACTAACTAGGAAACAAATAAAACAGTTAATGACTTTGTATCTACTAATCTATCAAATATTCATAACTAGAAAAGAAGGGTCACAAGTATTCAAGGTTTCTTGAAATGGGTAGAGAAGCTGGAATACAAACCCAGGTTTATGAACTGCAAGTCTCTGTACCCGCCCTTTTCAGACATTTGGTAGGTCACTGGCAACTTAATCGTTCTTAGAGAAAACCTTTTTCCTCATACAGTACCTATATCATCGTAGCGTTCCACCCAGACTACAGACACTCTTGTCTCAGGTCCAAGGGGAGGCACAGGGCGACCCTGAGGCAGCTTCTTCATTCTGGAACTGGGACTAAGCTATATGACAGGAAAGGAGAAAGACGTTTTTTGTTTTGTTTTGTTTTCTGAGACAGGGTATCTGTGTGTAGCCCTAGCTGTCCTGGAACTAGCTCTTGTAGACCACGCCAGCCTAGAACTCACAGGGATCTGCCTGCCTCTGCCTCTCTAGTGCTGGGATTAAAGGTGTGTGTCACCACTGTCCAGCATGATACAACTTTTAAGTATCAAGCGAATACTTAACAATTACAATTTGCATAAAAAGTAATAAAATTTGCATGTCATGTTTTAACTGAATCTACCTCTGTTGTGACCAGAAAGCTGTATGCTTCCCAGGTAAAGAAATACAACTGTTTTGTCTGGTCTCTAAAATGCAACATCAGAAAGTTATTTCTAGTTCTGAGATGAAATGTTCCAGTAGCAATCTATACCTGATTTTCCTCATATTGTCTTTGAGGCAAGCTCATGCACATTTGCCTTTTCTGCCACTCAACTGGCTTATTTTTAGTGAACTACTTTTGGTTATGTGTCAATATATTAAGGTGCATTTATTATTAAGCATGATGTTCTAAAGTATATAATGTTTCTACTTTCTTTTTATATATCTGTACATAATTTTATGTAACTATACAAAATCTAACTCACAAAAAAGAACATCTATTTTTCTGAGGCTGTCTTAATTCTTAGATGCATCTGTTTTCTTTTTAAAGATTTATTAATGTATCTGTGTGTCTGTGTATGTGGGTGCCCAAGGACGACAGCAGAGGGCACTAGATTCCCTGGAGCTGTGGTGATAGCACCCAACATGGATGCTGAAAACCAGTCGGTCCTCTGCAAGAGCAGTAGTTGCTTTTAATCACTGAGCCATCTCTTCATAATGAAGGAGTTCAGATCTTGTCATAAGGCTTTTCTAAATCTATTGAGATGATCATCTGATTTCTACTCTTTAGAAAAGGTTTACATAGTGTATTATTACATTTATTGATTTTTGTATGTAGAACTATAGCTAAATCTCTAGAATAAAGATAACTTGATCAAAGCCAATGATCTTTTCAATGCGATCTTGATTTGGGAATGCAAATATTTTGTTGAGAATTTTTGCAGCTATGTAGCTTGTAGCTTGGTCTATCTTCCTTTTGTTGTGTCTGTATGTCTGTATCTTGTTCTGGTATCAGAATACTGGTTTCAGAAAAGAAACCAGTTCTGGAGTGTTCTGTGCTTCCTGTTGTTAACAGCCTGAGAAACACTGGTGTTAGTCCTTTACAAGTCAGCAGATTCAGCAGTGAAGCTAATCCAGGACGGCTCTCTTTTAGGAAAGATTTCTTTTTTAAGTCCTTTAACAACATTGCTTGTTATAAATCTGTTAAAATAACCTCACCTTGATTTAATTTTGGTATGCCCTATGTACCTAGAAAGTGTCCATGGTTTTTTTTTTTTTTTTTTTTGGTTTTCTGTGTAATACACGTTTTTAAGGCATGTCCTGATCATTTTCTGAATTTCACTGTTATCTGTAAGAACCAGTTACTTCACTTAGGTTTCTAGTTTTAGTCATTTATGATTTCTCTTCTTTCTTCTTTCTTTCTGTTTTTCCAGACAGGGTTTCTCTGTGTAACAGCCCTAGAAGTCCTGGAACTCGCTTTGCAGACCAGGCTGGCCTCAAACTCAAGAGACCCACTTGCAGACCCAGTGCTGGGATTAAAGGCATGCGCCACCACACCTGCCTTTTTCTCTTTCCATCAGCTAGGCTGAATGAAGGTTTGTCCATCTTGTGAAAGAACCAGCTCTTTGCTGCAGTGATTCTTTGTTTCTCTGATTCCATTTCACTAATTTTTGCCCTGATCTTAATTTTTTTTCTGTCTAGTGATTGTAGATTTGGTCTGTTCTTATTTTTCTAAGATCTTAAGGTGAACTGTTAGTTTATCTGAAATAGTTGTTTCTTATATGTGTGGGCACTTACAGCTATAATCTTCCTCTTAGGCTTGCTTTCATTGTACCCCACATTTTTGGTATTTGTGTTTCCATTTTTGTGATACTAGAGATTTTTGTATTTCCTAATTTCTTTAGTGACTTTCTCATTAGTCAGGCATTTTGTTTGCCATTAGTATTTATACTTGTTAAAGTATATCCTATTGGATGATTTGTTTATTTATTTTTTGTTAGGATAACCTGTCCAAATGATAAATATTGGATACTTTTACTATGATAGGGTTAATGTGTGAATTTACATTTAGTAGTATTTGCTTTATGAAACCGTGTATACGCCTTTTCAATGTATGTTTTAAAATTAGAACGTCCCATTAATGGACTGTTCCTTTGAAGAGTATGTAGGAACTCTTCTGACTAGTTTTGGTTTCAAGTATATTTTTACCAGATTCAGGAAAACAAAGGCTTGTTTGCTTGTTACATTTTAATGGACTACCTTTCTCCATCCTTTAATCCTAAGGAAGTTAGTTTTTTTTATGGTGTCTTTTGTGGTGTGTTTCTTGGTGGCAACAAATCCCTCTTTAAAATTCAAACTGTTGTCTGTGTTTTGATTGTGGAGAAATGAGACCATAATACTATTAAAAGTATTATTAAGAGGACAGTATTAATTCCTCTCATTTTGTTGGTCTTAGAATGCTGTTTTCCTATTTCTCTCTTGCTTAACTGGTCGCTCTGATACCCTTGTGGATGTATTTTCTAAACACGGACCAGTGATGTACTCAGCACTCTTGCCACCACTTTGTCCACGGAGCCACCTCCCCAGCCCAGTTTGTTTCGTCTGTTCTGTATATTTAGTGATGTAAACACACTGTGATGTGGGAGGTTCATTTTCTAGTCTACTCTCATATTCTACATGCTTCCTGTATCTGGGCTGGCATCTCTTTCCCTAGTTTTGGGAAACATTATGATTGTACTGAAATGGTTTCTATGTCTTTAGAACGAAATTCTCCTTCTGTGTACTGAAATGGTTTCTATGTCTTTAGAACGAAATTCTCCTTCTGTGTACTGAAATGGTTTCTATGTCTTTAGAATGAAATTCTCCTTCTCTCTGCCCATGATTCTTATTAAATCTGATCTTTTCAATCACATACATCTTCAAAGTACTGCATTTATTTTCTTACTAATTTAATCTTTGTCAATGTTCGGTGTCCCAATTTCTCCATCTTGTTTTCAAACTCTGATGTTCTCTTTGAATACTTCTGTTCATAATGCTTTTCATGAGCTTTCTATTCATCTTACTGTGGTTTTCATTTCCAGTATTTCAATGGTTTTCGTTTAATATTTCTCTTTATTGAATTCTCTTTCATAACCTGAATTGACTGTGTTAATTAAAAACATTTATTTTTTATGACCATGGTACAGCATGTATATTGAGGTCAGAGGACAGCTTGTGAATGTTAGTTCTCTTCCCACACTATGTAAGTCACAGAGATCAAACTCAGGTTGTCAGGTGTGATGACAAGTAGTCTTACCAGTGCCAGTCCATGGGCTCCTCTATCAGCTTTCTCATTCAGTCAGCTGGGTTTTTTTATTTTGTTTTGTTTTTCTTAGACTTCATTCAGGAATTTGTGTATTCTTTAATTTACCCCCCACCCCCACCCCTGAGACAGGGTCTCATTTTAGTCCTGGCAGGCTATAAACTACAGAGATCTGCCTTCTCTGCCTCCCAAGTGCTAAGATAAAGGGATGTACTGTCACACCTAGTCCATTTTTAAACATACTTAGTCATTCTTTGAGTTCTTTAGGATTTCATGTGATTCCCTTTTACTGTAGGCTATTACTGAGGGATCAGTAATTTTTTTTTCTTCTTTTCAAGACAAAAGTCTCACTGTACCCTAGTTGGCCTTGAACTCATAGAGATCTGCTTGCCAGTGCTGAGATTAAAAGTATGTGCCACCTTGACCAGCGTGGATTAGTGATTTTTCGTTTTCTCTTTTACCCTCAAGACAGGGTTTCTCTGTTTAGTCATAGCTCTCCTGGAATTCAATCTGGAGACCAGGCTGGCCTCAAATACACAGATCCACTGCCTCTGTCACCTGAATGCTTGGATTAAGGCCTGCACCACCACTGCCCAGTTTGGATTAGTGATATTTAGAAGTGATATTGTGTTGGTTTTCCACGTTACTTGTGTTTTTGTACTGGGACTTGCACAGTTTAAGCTACTAGTTGAATTTATTTTTAGTTTTATCTTTTAGAAAGCATTGCTATTCTTTCTGAGGAAGTGTTTTCAGGGGAGGCTAGAGACAGGAGATGTGGTTTTCCTTTGCTTGACTGGTGATCAAGCACAAGCCCAGCAATCTTTTGGAATTAGAATGCTACCTGTTGCTGGGGTTTTTGTTTGTTTGTTATTGCAAATACAACCAAGGGGCTACGTAGAGATGTTTGGCTCGTGGCACTTGAAGCTCTTGTAGAGGTTCTGGATTTGATTCCTACCACCTACATGGTATCTCACAACCATCTGTAATGCCAATTCCAGAGTCTGACACTTTCTTCAGGGCTCCATGGGCACCAGGCATGCACATGGTGCACATACATACACACAAGCAAAATACTCATATACAGAAAATAAGTCTTAAAAACAACAAAAAAGGAAATAAGTCTTAGAAACAACAACAAAAAAGGAATTCAATCAAAACATGTAGGACATTCCCAGAGACCCTGTGAAGATGGCTAGTCAATGTTCTTTGGGGGAAAAACATTAAAGAAAGAACAGAGTACAAAAAAGAGAAATATTGCCGGGCGGTGGTGGCGCATGCCTTTAATCCCAGCACTCGGGAGGCAGAGGCAGGCGGATCTCTGTGAGTTCGAGACCAGCCTGGTCTACAGAGCTAGTTCCAGGACAGGTTCCAAAGCCACAGAGAAACTCTGTCTCGAAAAACCAAAAAAAAAAAAAAAAAAAAAAAAAAGAGAAATATTTTATACAGAACAAGAAGAGAGCAGGATGGAGTTCGCCTGCTAAAATGACAGACAACACTGAAAGAGGAAAACCTGTACAGAGGAGACAGCTGGAGAGGGTACAGAGTATGAAAGTAACTGGCTTATCATTTTTATCTATTTTTGACACAAGGTCTCATGTAACCCACAATGGCCTTAGACTTACTATGTAGCTGAGGTTGGCCCTGAAATCGTGATCTTCTGCTTTTACCACTTGAATACAAGAATTACAGGTATGTTTAATGATGCCTGGCTCACCCAATCAGCTTGAAGTTTTTCTGCAAGGTTAGCAGACTATGTGAACACCCTTTAGCACACTGGCACTCTAAACCATACCACTTGCAGGACACACATAAAACTGTTTGTGCTAATAACCTCATCAGAGCTTTTATGTGCAGGAGAGAGAATTCCATAGTTAAATTTAATCTTAAAACTAAAACTGCTTTATTAGGATAGAAACAGGTATATCAAATATATTACCAAATGACCAGAGTCCATGACAAGCCCCCAGATTCTTCTTTTTTTTAAACATAAATGGTTTTAATTTTATTTATTATGTATACAATATTCTGTCTGTGTGTATGCCTGAAGGTCAGAAGAGGGCACCAGACCTCATTACAGATGGTTGTGAGCCACCAGGTGGTTGCTAGGAATTGAACTCAGGCCCTTCGGGCTACCTCTGAGCTGTAGCCCACACTGATATGTCTTCTGTGTTTAGGTCAGGTTTCTGTAGATCACCTACTTTTTGACTCCTTAAAGTAATCTTAATTACATCCCCAAACTCCCTTTGCCATAAATCATACACAATCATTGGGTATGTTAAGAAAAATCTTCTCTGCCAGCACACCGAAATCCAATCAGGCCAAATCAAACTGAATTAAAATGTCCATGTTTCAATAATACAGCTCTCTCGGGTGGACAAGCTCATGGCAGGGGAGACAGAATATGATGTTAAATTGGGAGCGTCACCCCAACCCCTGGCATCCATCCCAGCCTCCAGCCTGGGACTACAAATCCCAGCATGCCAAGTCCTGACCCCTCCCACAGGGTATTTAAGTGGGCGCCCAGAAGAGGAACATGTGGTCCCAAGTTTTGCATGTGTTCCCTGGTTTTCTGTCTTCCTGCCATGCTCTTGGCCACCCAAGAGTACTGCATTTATTAAAACATGGGCGTTTTAATTTAGTTTAATCTGTTTTGAATGGATTTCTGTGCGCCAGCGGAGAGGATTTTTCTTAACAGGGTACATATCATATCCACAGGTTTTTATCATAACAGATGAGAAAGACACAGAGCAAGGATCACCGGGTGTCATCTTCAAACCTTAGTCAACACAATGGCATTCTTTACTGCAGTCCTGCTAAACTCACTTAGATTCCAATGGAGAGTCCTTAAGGTTTCCTGTACATGGTCAAGCCATGGGCAAATAACAGTTTTATTCTTTGCTTTCTGCATTTTGTCTTAATTCTCTGTTAGATTTCTACTTCTCCACCTGCAGACAGGATGCTAGCTGTTGTTAAGTCAATGTGCTTTATTATGTTAAAGAGGCTCACTTCTGTTCAGGGTGCTGAGACTGTCTCCTCACTGGCAACTGTTAAACAGGTTTTTTGGTTTATTTTCTAATCTGAAAAGAATACATGATAAAAAGCAAGATGCTTTAAGAGGGTTAGGGCAAGCAGCCACTGAAGTCTGCATTCTCTATTTCTTTCAAACTGTTCTATGAGGCCTCTTAACCTCTTGAAGTTTAAAATCAGTCTATTATTAGGAGCCATATAACTTGATACTTTTACTAAATAATTTTAATAATGGAGACCTTTCTTAAGCATGTATCTATGCTAAAAATAGAAAAAGGGGAAATGATGGATAAGGATCATCTGTCTATCTGTTGCTTTCATTGGTTAATTCATAAAGAAAGCTGCTTGGCCTGATAGGGCAGAATTTAAATAGGTGGAGTAGACCGAACAGAATGCTGGAAAGAAGGGAAGTGAGCCAGTCATCATAGTTCTCCTCTCCAAGATGGATGCAGGTTAAGAATATTCCAGGTAAGACACCACCTTGTGGTGCTACACTCATGAGAAATGGGTTAATCAAGATGTGAGAGTTAGCCAGTAAGAGGCTAGAGCTCATGGGCCAAGCAATGTTTAAAAGAAGACAATTTGTATGTTGTTATTTCAGATATAAAGCTAGCCATGCTGGAGCCAGGGCCGCAGCCCACCACTCCCACCATCAACAGTTATACCTAGTGATGCAGCTGTGGCAGGAGAAGAAGTTTAAGGCTTGCCTAGGCTACAAAATGTGTTCCAGGTCATCTGGGGCAACTTAGTAGATCCTGTCTCAAAATAAAAATAAGAAGACTAGGGAATATCTGGCTGCATGTGTGAGTCTTAAGCTTAACCCCAGTACTGAGGGCAGAGGAGCGGGGGAGTCATAATTTCAACTTTGGAATGAACCAAACTAAAATCCTATTTATTCCTGAATTTATATTCAGGAATGACTTTAGTCAGATTTACACTTCATCTTTTTTATTATTTGTTTGAAATCAATCAGCCTGATCATGTGTTTCTGTTACCACTTAAGTCATTTTTCAATAAAGATTAAGGGGTAAACACAGATAAAGAAATAAAATTGGCTGATAAGTATAAAAGCAAAAGATTTTCGTATGCAGTAGCAGTTGTGTGTCATACTCAACTGATTTAGTTATAAACAGTAGCCCCCACGCCACCTTTATCCATGGGGATACATTCAAAGACTCTCCATGGGTTCTTGAAACTAGTTACTACCCAATCCTATCCATAGTCTTTTCTAGTGTACAACTACACACACACACACACACACACACACACACACACACACACACACACACACACACAGGGAGAGAGAGAGAGAGAGAGAGAGAGAGAGAGAGAAACACCCTTGAAGTAAATGTAACAACAGCAATAAAACAGAACAAATAAAGTGTATTTCAATAAAAGCCTATGTGACTTTGGTCTCTCTTTCCTTCATGAAAGCTTACCATGCTATAAGCATTCCTCTTCCTGCAATGATACAAGGTGATGCAATGCCCACATTAGCCACAGTAAAACACTGTGACAAAATGCTAGGCATTGTTAACTTTACATAAGCATTGCAGTATAACATTCCATTACACCAAACCAAAACTAAAGTAACAGATGAGGGCAGAGGTGGGGAAGTATAAAGATGCTGAACAAAGGATGATTAGCATCCTAGGTTGGAAGAAACAGGATTTTGTAAGATTTCACCAAGTTATTCGGAATACTACATTATTTTAAACTTACAAATTGTTTATTTCTGCAATTTTCCTTTAAATATTTTTAGACTATAGTTGAGCATGGGTCATAAAATGGCTGAAAGCAAAGCAACAGACAAAGGAGAACTGCAGTCCTTAGAGTCTGCAAATGCTACGGCTTTGCAGTCAGTTCTTAGCTGGATCGTGTGAGGACAAAAGCTACACACAGCTCCTGCTGTAATGCTTAGTGGATATCGAAAGCCTCAGCTGAAACAGGAGTGAGTGAGAGAACTGACCATTGAAGCAGAATGTCAAAAACAAGAAAAATGTTGTCTTAGGGCCAAGCAATTATTATAGATTAGAAAAATGAAAAATTCAAGAATTCATTTTAAAATACTTCAGTTAATAAATCAGTAGTCTTGCTATACCTACTACATTACAAAAAATGAGAAATTTTCAGACTTGGTTCTATAATTACTGCCACTTCACCACAAAATTTTGGGTGAATCAATAAAACAACTTACCCTCTGTGAGGAATTAAGATTGTCTGTGTGATTGGGGACCAGCTCAAGTGTCAGGGGTGGCTGCTTCAGAATTCCAGGCATAAGATCCATATTTGAGTCACTATCTTGGTCTGAGATATTACTTTCCAAAGAATCGGCTGCAAGACAAGAAAAAAATTATATTTGCTACTTCTCTGGAGCAGAAGTTTAATTATGTTAAGTGGTCTAACTACCCTGAGTAACTGAAGACCAAGCACTGCTTCCACAGCAAGTCTTGGCAGACATTCTATGAAGGAGCAGGTGACCTTAGAGTAGGGTGTGCTAGTCATAGAAGCCTTTGCAGCACACTCTTCTTTGCACTTATAATACTTGAAAAAAGGTAAAACTTGGGACTGAAGAGACAGCTCAGCAGTTAAAAGCAATGGCTACCCTTGCAAAAGAATGGGGTTTGGTTCCCAGCACCTACAAGGTATTGACAACCATCTGTAACTCCAGTTCCAAGGGATCCCTGGTCTCTTCTAGCTGTCATGAGCACAAAAGACAAGCATGTAGTGCACATTAATACACGCAACTAAAACATTCATACACATAAAAGAAATATTTTAATATTTAATAACCACATAAAGCCCATTCTTGGCTGAATCTGGTTTGTGCACTATAGTTTGTCATCTCCTGCTGTCTACAGGATAACTAAGACGAGAAAATTATGAAATCAAAGCTGTTATTCTCTTAATTATTTATATATCAATCAAAAGTACCATCCTAAGTAGACACTGAGACACCTGAAAGCTACTAAGAACCTAGTCTGAATTTAAAGTACAATATGGTGGGAGATTAAAAACAAAACAAATCTGGTAGTAGTAAAAAAACAAAAGAAATGAACAAAACCCCCAGGAAAATAGAGATATTCTATTTTATGCAAACAGATGTTTTGCCTGCATATATGTATATGTACTACATGTATGCTTGGTGTCCAAGGAAGTCAGAAGAGGGCATTGGATTCCCTGGAACTGGAGTTACAGATGGTTGTAGGCTACCACACAGGTACAGGAAATCAAACCCAGACCATCTGAAAGAGCAACAAACACTCCAAATCAGAGCCTTCTTTCTTGTCCCGGAATATGAATATCACCAGAAGCTGAGTAACAGCACAGAAATGGCAAGTGGCATTAGGCATATATCATGATTGTAGGCTAAGAACCAATTGTAGGAAGCCACAGTGTGAGTGAAGAAGGCTCTAGGTCTGGGAAGACTTGCTGGTGCAGGCTGTTCAACCAAAATAACCAGACAGGTACTTTACTCATAAGACAGCTAGGCCTCAACCGCTGGAATAAGATGGAAGGCAGATAAATACTATGATTCTGATCCTGGAAGGCCCACTCTACTAGGGACAAAAATGATAGAATATGAAACAGATGGGAGCCTACAGTGAGAAATCAAGGTCAAGTACAAAGGTAGGGAAGCTACTAAGCTAGACACCGCAAAAGTACTTTGGAGAACACATTTTTTTTTTTTTTTTTTGGTTTTTTGAGACAGGGTTTCTCTGTAGCTTTTGGTTCCTGTCCTGGAACTAGCTCTTGTAGACCAGGCTGGCCTCGAACTCACAGAGATCCGCCTGCCTCTGCCTCCCGAATGCTGGGACTAAAGGCGTGTGCCACCACTGCCCGGCTGCAAAAGTACTTTGGAAATGAGACTAGCAAGTGAGATGGATCATAGTTCACACTTCAAATGGTCTCAATGGAGAAGGTGACATTTTCTACTTACTGTCTAGCGGGACAAGAAGAAATGTGCTTAATTTACAAAAAAAACAATATTTTTTTTCAAATTTATTTTAAATTTATGTATCTGTGTATATACCCATGAAAGCCAGAAAAAGCTGTAGAATCTAGAATTGTAGTTACATGAGTGCTGGGAACTGAACTCGGGTCTTTGGGAAGAGCAAGTGCTCTTAAAAGCTGAGCCCTCTCTCCAGGCCCACACTGTAGTGATAGTTTGTGTTTTAACAAATAAACTTGCCTGAAGATCAGATTGCAGAGCTGAACTACTAGAGATCAGGCCATTATGGCTCACACCTTTAATTCCAGTACTTGGGGGTCCCATGCTTTTAATCCCAGAACAAGGGAGTAGAGACAGGAAGGAATATGGCTGGGCAGAGAGAGGAATATAAGGTGGGAGGAGACAGGAGCTCAGATGCAGTCTGATGTTTGGTAGAGATGGATATTGTCTGAGGCAACAGTCTGAAGCAGTCCATCAGAGGACGCAGCCTGAGGACAGGATCGCCCTTTTGGACTGAGAATTTGGGAGAGGTAAAAACACTCTCTCTAACACCTGGGCTGCACTGGTCTCTGATCTATCAGCTTTCACCCTCTAGTATCTGACTCTGGGTCTTATTATTTTCTTTTTCTTTTGGTTTTTCGAGACAGGGTTTCTCTGTAGCTTTTGGAGCCTGTCCTGGAACTAGCTCTTGTAGACCAGGCTGACCTCGAACTCACAGAGATCCGCCTGTCTCTGCCTCCTGAGTGCACTACCACTGCCTGGCTCTGGGTTTTATTATTAAGAACAATTAGAATTCATGCTACACCACACAATATTTTAAGCAAAATAAACCTGTGAGTTTAGATTGAGAAAGAGTAATCATACTTGATCCATAAGAACAGTATGCCATCTTTTCTAGGCTGCTCATGGTTTTTTCCTTAATGTCCAAAGATCAGCATGATGTCATCATGATAAATTTACATAGGGTTCCAAATAAAAGCTCTCACATGGGAATCAAGAGCAAGGTAGGCTTCACTCATAATTTGCGAAAGGAGTAACCAAAGCAGAAAGCAAAGTCTGTACATACACACTGGTTAAGTTAGATGAAAGACAAAACTAAGGTTGACGTGGGATTGTACTTAAAGAATATCTGATACCTATCATTAGATGAATGCATAAAGAAAAATGAAATTATGTCGCATATAGAAAATTAGATGGAATTGGAGATCATGGAGTTCAGTGAAATGACTCTGAAAAACAAAAACAAAAGTCTCATTTTCTCCTATGACAAAATGACATCTAGACATACATAAAATCTCTGACATAAAGAAGGGAGAGGAATAGGCTGATGCGAGAAGGGAACAAGAGTGTAATGGAGTGGAGGAGACAGAGCATGTTTTTTTTCTTATGCTGAATTTCAACTTAACTATGCATATATGGGGAATATGGTAGGGAAATATACACATACAGCACAACATATTCATGAAAATATCATAGCAAAAGAAATTAAGTTATCCTAATTAATTATGCCCTACTATGTTTTCAATATGAAATGGCCTTCACAGTCTCATGCATGGAACACATCTTTAGCTGGTGGCACTATTCTGGGAGACTGTGAAACCTTTATGGGATGAGGCCTGGCTGAGGAGACAAGGTCATTGGGAGAGGGACTTTGAAGTACCTAATGTCTGGGTTCTGACCCTGCTATCTGCTTCCTGGTCTGCTATGCTGAGGAGTCTTTGCTATATGCTCCCATGTCCATAGAGTAAGTGAGCCATTGTGTCATGCCATTATCATTATGTAGATGAGAACCTCTGAATCATCAACTAAAAGTAAAGCCTTCCCCCTCATTCCTGTAGGATATCTCTGTCACCAACACTGTCTAGGTTAGCTTTCCTGTCAACACGTCTGGGAAGAGAACTTCAAACGATCAATTGCCTTGATTAGACTGGCCTATGGGCATATCTTTAGGGTATTTTTTTTTAATTGCTAATTGCTACAGGAAGGTTCAACCCACTGTGGATGTGGCACCTCTCCAAATGTGGCGCTAAGCCATGTAACAAAAGTAGCTGAGCCTGGGACAGAGCCAGTACGCTGCATCACTATGTGGTTTCTGCTTTAAGCACTGATTCCAGGTTCCTGCTTGAGCTTCTGCCCTGACTTTCCTTGATGATGGACTCTTAAAGGTTAAAGACGTAATAAACCTTTCCCTCCCCATCTTTGTTTTGGTGTCATGTCATAGCAATGGAAAGCAAACTAGGTCAAACAAAACTATCACAGAAAAAAAAAAAACTATCACAGAAAACTGGTAGCAAAGAAGTAGAGCAGCTTATGTGACCAAACTTGACCATGTGGTTCCTAGGCCTTAAGAACTGATAATGCAGAGGGAAATATTAGGAGATGCAGGCTAAATAAGCTCTAGAATGTTCTAAGCAGAGCTTAATGGTCAGTTCTGGTAGGATCAGAAATGCCAACAGAGATTAAGACAGTAAAGACTGTTCACTGAGATTTAGAACAAGGATTCTACTAGGGACTGATTAAAGGCCATTCATGTTACATTTTGGCAAAAAGCAACAAAACAAAACAAAACCTGTCTACATTCTATCCATGTCTTGAAAAACTCAATAATAATGAACTAATTTATTGGCAGACACAACTGAAGACAGCACAGCATCCAGTGGCATCAGGCTTACTGCTGGCTGCTTCTAGCTAGATTACATGGGAACTGAGAGCAAAAGTGGGGGCAAGATTTGGACATGGTAAATTTAGCCAGGAAAGGAGTATGATTGTAATGAAACTCATAGACAAAGTGAGGAGAATAGCACCACTAAAAAGAAGCTGTGCACTTTGTGTGGGAACAACAGGAGAAAGGTACTGTGAGGACACTCCAGGAAGGAGTTAGACCCTACCCAGTGTGGGCTCCAGTATATGAAACGGAAAGCTCATCTGGAACATATTTTGTTTGAAAAGAGTACTGCTGGATGTCTGGCTGGAAAAGGGCCAGCTAAAGAATTTTTTCTCCACCCCAAGCACCTGGTCTTCCAGAGAGCACTGTAGCCACATCCCAAGAGGGCCTGACTGCTGCTCAAGTTGGCAGCTAAATTTAACATCATTCCCATGGTGCTGGTTTTCAAGCACAAAGAATGCAAGAGTTGCTGGGCGGTGGTGGCGCACGCCTTTAATCCCAGTGCTCAGGAGGGAGAAGCAGGCAGATCTCTGTGAGTTTGAGGCCAGCCTAGGCTATAGAGCAAGTTCCAGGACAGGGTCCAAAGCTACAGAGAGATACTGTCTCAAAAGATTTGTGGAGTCATGGAGGCTTTGTCAAGTCTTTGAGATGTGCCTGTGAGGCCAGGCAGTAGTGTATCATGGGGTAAGAAACCCTGCAAAAAGTTCTAAAGCAGGCTGTGACCAAAGTTACAACGGAGATTACAGGATGTCAGGCACAAGGGAGGTTTTGTCAAGAAAAGCTACAGGTGGGTAGTCAGACTAAGAGGGACTTGACAATGTTCTACAACTGCCAAGGACATAGGGGCAGGGATGGTCAAGTCTTATGAGTTCATATAACATAACAATGTTCTCAAACTGCCAGACACATAGTTACATGATTTAGTATTTAGACTTCTGGGATTTGGTCCTGAGTCAGCCCCATCTTTCTTGGCTATTTTCTTACTCCCTAGTTTTGGAAAAGGAATGTTTTACTCTATGTCACTCTATATCAGATGTATGTAACTTTTTATTTAACAAGGGCTTGCAGCTGAGCGCTACCAAGGGTCTGAGAAGCGATTTGGAATTTTCAAATGGTGTGGAAAATGTTAGTACTGTGGCAACTCTTAAGAGCTGGACTGAAACATTGTGCATCAAGCTAGAGACAGAGTAGCAAAGTAGAATCTGAAATATTGCTAATAGGTTCCTATTTTAAGTCCTTTCCTTTCCAGTTATTGGTGCTATTTTGGGAGACTGCAGAACCTTTAGGAAGTGGTACTCAGCCAGCAGAAGCAGGTAATTGGGAAGGAGTCTTTGAGGTTATAGCCTGGCTGCTGGTTTTGGCCCTGGTCCCTGCTTCTTAGTATGCCGTAATGTAAGAAGTTGTCCATGCTCCCACTGCCATGGAATAAGCCATTCCACCATGTCTTTTCCATCATGATAGCCTGAATGTTTCAGTCTGGTTCTTACATTACCTCTGTCAGGTACTGGTCATCGTACCAGAAAAGTAACTAACATACTAGAGAATGTTATGAGATGATAGCTCTCATACTTGTATATAATCTAGTTATAATATCCTTGCTTAGAAGCTAAAGAATGCCTTAATTTTGATGACTTCAAAAATCTCCAATGCATAACACACCAAATAGTGAATATACAAACAGATCTCAAAATAGCTCTATGCAAAAACATGTTCTTACTTAAGGACTCCACAGGAGAAGGAACCACGAAAGCTATTTCCGTCAGTGCATCAGCATAATACAGGACCTTCTTCTGCCCATTGAAAATGCTAGCTCCAACATCTTCAGAGGAAGTTACTTCATCTGGGAATAAGGAACAATGTATCAGTACTTAAAGCTGGGCACCTTCACCTCCTGTTCATGAATTCCAGTCACTTTATAAAGCAATGGCAGTTTCAAGGAGAACCAACACACAGGAAGTTTAGAAGTATCTGCTCTATACCAGAATGAGTTCCAACAGTCTGAACTAGTCTAAGTCTCAGTTACAATGAATATATAATAATCAATATGACATAGTGTCAGGACCTTCACAGGAAGATGGCACAGATTTCAGGAAAGGAATATATGAAACATGCTTGCTTTTCCAATCACAAAACTAAGATTTCACCTAACATATTAGGATACTTAATGCTGGTAAAGATGTGGTAAGCAAGAACTTTAGAGCATAAGTTGACACACTTTTTCTACAAAGGATCAAACAGTGAATATTTGATGCAGGGAATATATCTCTGCTACAACCATCCTATCACTGTAGGACCAGAGCAGTCATATACAGCTCACAAAGGGGAGTATGGTTAAGTTCCAATAACATTCTAGTTACAAAACTAGGTCCAGGCCACAGCTGAAACTCTCGGGAGCACTCTGCATCTACTCTGGTTATTGCTCCAGAAGCTACTCTGCCTGACCCTACTTTGGAGCAGACCCGCAGCTATAGTGTAGGTGGGACTGACTCTAAATACATTAAATTTCTCTACCGAGTCGGGCTTAGGGAGAAAAAAAGACTCCAGCTCAGCTATGTTCCTTTCCAGGCTACGGTGGTGTATGCATGTAAAGTCTGATACTGCCTTTCTTTAGCTTCATAGAAGACAAGTAGGGATTAAGAAAAAATCCAGAGAACAGATCTAAAGGAAAATGGAAAATTACAAATAGAATGAGTGCTTTTGTGCTGATAATTACATAAAACACTTAAACAATCTGGAATTTCTTGGTCCCCTGGAAATGATCTTCAAAGTTTAAGCCAGGGTCAATGAGACTGGTTTAGTGGGTAAAAGTCTATCAAACATTCTTTTTTTTCCCAGGACAGGGAGGCACAGGCTGACTGACCTCTGTGAGTTCTAGGATAGCCTGGTATATACACAGGGAATGTGTCTTTCCCTCTCAAAAAAAAAAAAAAATCCCCAGAATTGTGCCCATGAATGGAATGTCCTTACCCAACCCTCCTACACAAAACAGATAACTTTAAAAAAAGAAAATATACAAACTAAATGTGACCTTCTGAAGACTAGAACTGAGGAAAGGAGACTTTTCCATGATGTAAACTATTTAAAAGGCTAAAGGATTCATGGGAAAGGGGAGGGAGGAACAAACCAGAGACAGCAGCTATTTACGAGCTTTACCTTGTTCAGACCCTTCACCATCATCGCAACTATTAATTGACCAACTGGTGGACACGTGTCCCGTCCAACCAGGATGCCTGCCCACATCTACTGACCAGCCAAGGGAGAGCAAAAATTCTAGGAAATGTGGCTGAACATTTCTGGAAGACTCCACGTTCTTTAAAATCTGAAATACACAGAAAGCGTAAGTTATGAAGGGAATACAAGGGTATATTGAAATAAACACACGCGAAAACTAATGAGCTTTGACACTTTTGACAAATCAAGGCCCAGTTCAGAGTGAATTTGGAAATATATGACCACAGTGAAAATGTGTGTTCTGGACTGATGTAAAGAAGGAAAAATACGGCTGGAGAGATGGCTCAGTGGTTAAGAGCATTGCCTGCTCTTCCAAAGGTCCTGAGTTCAATTCCCGGCAACCACATGGTGGCTCACAACCATCTGTAAAGAGGTCTGGTTCCCTTTTCTGGCTGCAGACATGCACACAGACAGAATATTGTATACATAATAAATAAATAAATGTTTAAAAAAAAAAGAAGGAAAAATACAAGCCTGCATGCATTCATGGCTGGTTCCTGAGTATGGGTGAGATGTGGCCAGCCCCTTGTAGCTTTCAACTTCCCTGACACAATGGACCTGGACTATGAGCTAAATAAGCCCTTCTTCTTAAGTTGTTTCTGTTAGAGTATTTTATCACAGTAAATGAAAAAGAAACTAAGACACAGTGAATAGAACAATGCTGCGATTAGAGCCGAAGACGCTGCTCACTGGTCTGAAATACTGGGCAGCTGCCACAACAAAGAAACAGCTGCTCTTATGCTCTCAGGTCTAAAGATAGGAAAATAAGGAATTCCTTTCCAAAGTAAAAGTGAAAAAGCAGAGGAGAATATGCCAAACCATTTGGAGAATTTTCTAAAAGTAAGACTCCCTTAGCTTGCCTCAGGCCTACAATGTTAGCAAAAACAAGATACTAAAATTGCCATATTTTTAAGGGCTCCTCTCATATGACTGAAGCAGCTCATCCATAAATCTCTAGTCACTTATACAATGCTAACTGATGGCAATACCCTGCTCTCATGCCTGGTAAAGAAAAACGGGGTGGGGGTGGGGGAGGAGTTACAGTCATTACTTCTAAGTCTATTTGTTTTATTTACCCATAGCTCTCTCAAATTCTTTTTTTAGTATTTATTTACTTAATACTGTGTGAGAGAAAGCCAGAGAACAAAAAAGAGAAAGTGCAAGAGTGTGCAAATTGCCATAGCAGGCATGTGGAAGTGTCAAAACACAATTATGGAAATCATTTTCTCCTTCGTGTAGGTCTAGGAATCCACCTGAGCCCACTAGACTAGGTTAGCTCCTCTATCCATGGAGCATCTCACCTGCCCTTCCTTTGGTGTTAGGAAACAGGGTTTCACTATATAACCCCAGCTCTCTTTGAAGCTTTGATCTTACACTGTAGCCTGACTAGGTGTGAAGTCTATAAATAAATAAATAACATGTGAAATTTTAGTCAAGAAATAAGTGATTCAAATACATCTTGCAGCTCACCTGCTAGCAGCCAGAAAATAATCTCCACTGGCTAGGAAGAGAAAGGATTCAGGTATTCTTAAGAAGTCTCCAGAAATCTTTACAGCTCCCAGAAGCCGAAGGAAACTAAATGGATTAGGAAGTGCCTCAGGGCCTGTGTCTTTTATGGTAAGAGAAAAACTGCCCCATACTGTTGGGAAATATTATTTTAAGGTGTGTTGCTTTTGTTTATGCTGCATTTGTTTAACTATATGAAGCTGTGATTCTTTGCCTGTCTAAAACACCTTATGGGCTAATAAAGAGCTGAACAGCCAATCACAAGGCAGGAGCAAGGATAGGCGGGGCTGGAAGGCAGAGAATAAATAAAAGGAGAACCAAAGAAGAGGGGAAGCAAGAGAAGAAAGAAGGGGAGGAAGACAATAGGAGCCAGCCACTCAGAAAGCCATGGAAAAAGAAGTAAAGAAAGGTATACAAAAAAAGAGAAAGGTAAAAATCCTGAGGCAAAAGGTAGATGGAACAATTTAAGAAAAGCTGTCAAGAAACAGGTCAAGCTAAGGCTGGGCATTCATAATTAAGAATAAACCTCTGTGTGTGATTTATTTGGGAGCTGGGTAGTAGGCCCCTCAAAAAGCCGGAAGAGTAAATCATCACACAACACTATACTTTCATGTGAGCATCACTCTAGTCTTACTAATCCAGTTTACTGGGGTTCTAACAAACTAACACAAAGTCTCATTGCTGGCTGCCACCATTCTCTCTTCTCAAAAGCTCCAAGCATACTACTGGTACCATGATGAATCTCATAAAGATGTATACACTCTTTACCTCTGGAGAATCTATGCTTTGGTCAGTGTATACTTAGAAATTGCTGTAATAGCCTTGTCTCAGAACCTTAAAATCAGATTGGGTCTCTCAGGCTCCTGAGGCAGAATTTAACACCTCTATTAACATGCTAAACTATGAGTGCTACTTCTGTGGCTGCCTTCCCTTAGATAAGTCTATGGCCTTCTAGATCTTGTTTACCTGTAACCCTGGAGCCTACCAGAAAGGACAAACTTAATCAGTGTATGCTGAGTCAGAAACATGAATGAAAACTTTCTCAAAACTCGCTAATTAGCAGCTCACTAATGCACAATTTGAGACAGTGCTTCCTATGGAAACATTCTGTTAGGTTGGTAAATTTCTACAGGTGTGGTGTCTTAATTTAATGACAAGTTAATGATCCTGCAATTCCAATCATGGTCACAGCACCCAAACATCTTCCTTTGACCCTCTTCTAGTCACAGCTACCGTCTAGCCCATGTTTCAATACTTGCTTCCAACAGAAACTTCAGATTCCATGAAATTTCTCTCAGCTCTCCATTCCCACCTACATTATACATCCCTTCACCTTCCTAGTCTTTCCTGTTACCCATATCCAACTGTGAGTCACTTTATCACAGTCTATGCTTTACCTCAGCTGAAATGGCTTAGTGTGAGATTACCTGTAAGGAGAAAGCATGCTCGCTCCTACCTGGCATGAGCCCCAGGGAAGATAGCCAGGAAGAGTTTAAGACTGCAGTCCTCTGAAGCTTCAGGCCTAGCTCTGGCTCCCTGTGGCTAACCTTCAGGAACCTTTAGTTTCCTTTGCCTGTGAGTATGAATTCCTTAAGAAAAAAGAACCCACACTATGCTTCTTGAGGATGGAAAGGCTCAGGACACCAGGCTTCAGGGTCATGAGCACTCAGTTTCTAAATGAAACAAGTCATAAGCACAGAACACAAAATCCTCATGTCAAGTACAAACAGTTGACATAAAGTCCTGTGTGTTTATAACACAAAAGAGGGTAAATTCAGAATCTTACCTCTTGGTTTGTTTTCTGACCTGGTTTCATGTAGAAAATAAAAACTGTGTCAAAAGGACGACATGGCAAGAGATCCAGATACCCAATGTCATCAAAAAACCCAGGGATGGTAGAATCGAGAGCAACAAGGTGAGGAGGTAGACGACTATTTGCGGGTTCCTGTCCAATGAGAGAGGAGCAATTGTTACCACAGCATTACTCCAATCATGATGCAGCATTTACAGTTTGGTGGTGTCATCCATTCTAGTACAGTGTCTCAGTACAGCTTGGCAGCCAGGGTAGCCTCCACCTCACTATGTAGTCTTGGCTGCCCTTGAACTTGTACTCTTTCTAGTTCAGCCTGTCAAGTACTAGGATTACAGACGTTTGTCACCACAACCACTTTTTCTTATTTTAGTAAAAATTAAATGAAAAATTATAATGTAGCAGAAACAAATACAACCATGATCCTAAAGAAACTGCTTAATGTGTTTATGCTTCGTTATTTTTATCTGCTTCAGACAACTGAGGTTACAGTGTATATATAATTTGGGAGCTTATTTTCTCTAGAATATAATGCTTTATAAAATGTAAAAAAAATTGAGATTTAATTTTATTTTACATGTGTCATTTTGCCTGCATGTACGTATGTGCACTACATGTGTGCCTGTTGCCCATGGAGGCCAGAAGAGGACATAGAATACTCTGGGACTGGAGTTACGGATGGTTGTTAGTAGCCATGTGGGTGTTGGGCATTCGCATCTATGTCATCTAGAACAGCCTGTGCTCTTAAAAGCTGAGTCATCTCTCCAGCCCATGTAGAACTTTTTTTTTTAAATATTTATTTATTTAGTATACAATATTCTGTCTGTGTGCATGTCTGCAGGCCAGAAGAGGGCACCAGACCTCTTTACAGATGGTTGTGAGCCACCATGTGGTTGCCAGGAATTGAACTCAGGACCTTTGAAAGAGCAGGCAATGCTCTTAACCACTGAGCCATCTCTCCAGCCCCCCATGTAGAACTTTTTAAAATGTATTTTAAAAACTCATCCACTGCTCATACAGATGCAATAGTACAGTTACTTTGGAAGATAAGTGACAGTTTCTTGCCAACTTACTGTCTTAAATACAATGTAGCAATTGCATAGTTTGCTATTTTTCCCCAATGAGAGGAAAAATATAACCACAGAAAATGATGGACATAAATTTTATAGCTGTTTCATTCATAACTGCCAACATGTACAAGCAGCCAAGATGTTTTTCAATAGGTGAATAGATAAACTGCTTATTAGTAAAAATGAATGACATAAAATCCTAAAAAGACATGGAAGAATTTTAAATGCATTGTTGCTAAGTGGAAAAATAACAGTGTGAGACTACATTGTACATGATTCCAACCATATGCCATTCTGGAACAGGCAAAACACAGAAAATATCACAGAGACCAGTGTGTACAGGGATCTGTGGTGGCAGTGGGAGACCAGTGTGTACAGGGATCTGTGGTGGCAGTGGGGACTCTGCACATGGGAGCATCCATTTGCCCATACATGCATATACACACAAAACCCATAATATTTTTGAAGTACTGCAAAGAGGAGCACAGGTTATAACAATTTGTCAAAACCTATTGACCTATACAATACTGAACTCTAATGTAAATTAGAGACTTCAGTTTGTAACCCATGACTACATGCTCATCTACTTAGCAAACACATCAATGCAAGTGTTAACATAGCAAACTCTGGGAGCAGGTGTAAAGGAGACTTCTACACTTATTGCTTGGCTGTTCTAGAAGCCTAAAAGTTCTTGAAAAATACAAAATCCATTAGCTTTTAAAATTCATTTTTGTTTCATTTTTTCTTCTAATCTCTTATCATCTTTGATCTTGCCGAGCAAAATTTTAACAAAAGAAGGTTTTGACCATAGTGATTTTGTTATTTTTAGGAAAGTCACTCCCAGGGGTGATAAGAACTACTTTTTTTTCACACAGCAGGGATTCTGAGCTTGATCAGTTAATTTGATACTTAAAATTCCCACTAAGGGTTGGGAAACACACTGACCATAGACATTATCTTCCTGATATAAACAGAAGAGAAGTCATATTAGAAGATCACAAACAGTTCCAGACTAATTCAAGGCAGATTTGGTTTCAATTTTTAGAGATGAGGTTTTGTGTATCCTTGCCTGATCTGGAACTCTTTTTTTTTTTCATTCAAGACAGGGTTTCTCTGTAGCTTTGGAGCCTGTCCTGGAACTAGCTCTTGTAGACCAGGTTGGCCTCGAACTCACAGAGATCCACCTGCCTCTTCTGGAACTCTTTTATGTAGATCAGGCTGGCCTCAATCTCAGAGATCTACCGACCTCTGCTTCCCAAATGCTAGGATTAAAGAATATGCTCAGATTTTTGCAACTCAATGATTTTTCTTGAAATATAGTCAGACCTCCCAGTTTTCCTCTTTTACCCTGAAGTTGTGGATGAGGAACCGTGGGTGTTGGCATGCTGTAGACGCCATGTGAGCAGTCTTCACATATTTTTGTTTTTCTGTTTTGTTTCTTGTAGCTCCTCTACAAAATTTTGTTTGTGTGTGTGTGTGTTTTAAGGTAAATGTATTTCAAGTTAGTGTTTCAGCTGCACGTGGAGTATTTTCACATTCCTTGGGTTGTGTGTATGTTTAATTGTTTATTTTTGAAACAGGATCTCACTATGTAGCCTTAGTTAGCCTGGAACTCAACTATGTAGACCAAGTTGGCCACAAACTCAAAGACATCTACCTGCCTCTGTCTCCAGAGTGCTGGGATTAAAAGTGTACAATGCCACACCTAATTTCACACTGCAATTAATTTTTTTTTTATTTTGTAAAGTATATGCATACATCTTTGTCAAGGTCAGAGGAGAACTTCCGGGAGTCAGCTCTCTACCACCCCTGTGGGATCCAGGATCAAACTCTGTAAAGGTCTTTTCACTGCACTAAGACATCAACAGTTTCATCACGGTGTACTTTGAGGTAGATTTTACAAACAGCCATTAACTTCTCAATGCAATTATTTTAAATATCTTATTGTTGGTTACCTAGTTAAGAAGTCATATTTCCTTCAAACAATTTCCTTTACAATGAAATATCTTATGTAGTTTATTTCCATTTTTACTTCATTTTCTCATTTTAGTGTAAGATGTGGCCACAGGGGGAAATTTTCCTCAACATTTTTTTTATTAACAATTAAGGGCAAAAGTTAAACTCACTGTCTAAAAATTTGTTATATATTGCCATATGGTCAAGGTACAAATTACCTGATTTTTACAAAAGGTGCTTCTAACCTGTTAGAGGGACTGACACTTTAAAGACCTTTAAGGTATGAACCCATACTATGCATAAATTTGGGGATATTTTTAAGATCAGATCAATATTGTTCTACAAAATCTTGATTTACTTTATTGTTTGATGGAGTCACTAACATTTCTCAATAATCAATTCTCCTTACATTCTTTGACAAAAAAGAGAATACTTAACATACTGACTCAGAATTCAGCTAGTATTCTCTATTCAATACTTTTATTACATATATTCATAAAATTGGCTAGAAGTTGCTTTTTAAAGTACATAATATCTTATTAAATTATTAGAGAGATGCTAAAGCTCATAAAAATAAACTTGTAACTTGCTAACTTTTTCTAAACTCTGGTAAAAAATTTTTAAATGAACATTATTTTCTTGATCTTAGCCAAAAGACTGAAAACATTATTTTCTTAAAACCTTAAATATTGGGGCTGGAGAGATGGCTCAGTGGTTAAGAGCACTGCCTGCTCTTCCAAAGGTCCTGAGTTCAATTCCCGGCAACCACATGGTGGCTCACAATCATCTGTAATGAGGTCTGGTGCCCTCTCTGGCCTGCAGACATACACACAGACAGAATATTGTATACATAACAAATAAATAAATATATTTTAAAAAAACTTAAATATTAAGTATGGTCTAGAACAACTAGTTTCAGGACAGGCTCCAAAGCTACAGAGAAACCCTGTCTCAAAAAAAACCAAAAAGAATAAAAAAATTCTAAAATATTACCATGAATAGAAAAACTACACTCTTAGAAACAAGGCTATTAAAGGATTTAATAATTTTCATCCCAAATATTTGATTTACTGCTTCTACTATGGTAATTTACTCCACTAGGAATATCACTAATCATTTGTAGGCAGGATTTTTGTTTTGTGCCTTCCTTATTTACTTCTGTATCTACTATTTTCCACTATTTATTTGGCAAGAGTGTCTCACTATGAACTGGTTTGAAACACACTTTGTAGACCAGGCTAGACTCTAATTAAGAGATCTAGCTACCTGCTTCTGCCTCTCAAGCACTAGGATTAAAGCTGTGTGCCATCATTCCTGGTTCTTTCCTTTTCAATTTTAAAAGGTTTTGTGTTAACATTACATATCTCAAATTATTTTCTACAGTATAAAATATATTCTCTCTACATACTGAAATTCCAATAGAATAGTAATGTCTTTCTGCTTTCCTACAAAAACAAACAAACAAATAAATGACCGATCTATGGCCAGGTCAGTTGCATAATTGTTCAGGCAAGTTATCTACCTAACTACCTATTTAGCTATCTACAATACGAGGGTATATTGCCTCAGGCCTTTTTTTTTCTTTTAAAGCAGGCTCTCACTATGCGGCCCAGGCTGGTCTTGAACTTTGTCTCCATATTATAAGCACGAGCCACAATGATTAGCTAGTCTTACCAACTATACGACATAAGAATATGGCTTGTGTTACAATAGTACAGAATTGGGGCTGAGGATGTAACTTACTGGCAGGGTGCTTGCCTAGCATGTGCATGGCCCTGTATTCACTCAGAACTATAAACCAAGACCAAACATATAAATTAATAGAATAAAATTTTAGAGTACTACAGAATTAACTTCATTCTTTTACAGAGTGACATGAAAAAGCCAGTTCAGATCTGAACTCATCACTGGAGTAACCCCTTCACAGGTGCACTTTCCTGGCGTCCACACTGAACACAGCTGCAGCACAGGACTCTGCTGATTCGCATGCAGAGTATACAAGCTGGGGTTTTGTTCACTTGTTTTAAACCTTTCTTCATTTTGATAAAAATCATCAGCTGGTGATTACTTTATGAATATATTTATTCATAGAAGTTCCTAAAAATTACCTTCAATGCTTCTAAGGACAAAAATCCAAAATGAGAAAGGAAAAGACGGGCTGTTTGGAATTCCTGAGCAGGAGGAGGAGGCTTACAATCCGTAACAGGGTCAGGAAAGCTTCTCTTCTGCAATTCTCCCTCGCTCTGCTGTTCCAGGTGTATTTCATAAGCGATCTGCTGGGCCATACCACTCCTTAATTTTTCATGCCTCTCTTCTAACTGAAATAAGTCAGATATTTTTAAAACATTTTCTTAAAATGAAGTAAGCTTCTTTTAATTTTAAAACAAAAATAAAGCAACAAAGAAAATGATAAGTTTTGTTGATCAATATTGTTTCAATTAGATACAAAGCACAGGATTAAACAAACATGGTTCAAAGTTAGACTTATATCCAAAAATTCTTCCCTAGGGCCTAACCAATTGTTTCGTCCTCTCCTGGCTATAAAGAACACTATTATCTCTGCTCTTGGAGGGGCAGAGCTGTTTTCTCACTGGACCCCCCCAGATGATTATCTTTACTCTACAGTATCTATCCTTGTGTTTTAAAATACTTACCTATATGGATTCCTTACCTTTTGATCAATCCTACTTTAAAGTTTTACCTCCTCATGTGTGAAAATACTTCCAAACAAACTGGCTTAATTATACAACCACCTCAATCTTAATTACTTAAACCATGCTCCCGAGCCCCCGATGTGAGACACTTTCAAGGATTTTCTCTCCAATCCCAACCCCACTTCCTGTACTATCCAAATATCTGCCTTTGCTACCAGAGTTTGGTCATGTTATCATACTACTGAAATCTACTGCAAACATCCCAGGCAGCCAAGGATCCTGTCTCTAAAAGATGTTTAGTTCTTACCAACTGGTCCAAATCTACACATCCATCTTCTGTCATGTCAAATCTCTGAATTTCTGCAAAAATGCAAGTCATCTTCTGCCTCTCCTCCCTAACACTAAATGTTATACCTGACCACATATACCATCTAAAAATGTTTCCATTTATCCTTTTAGGAAAAGCTAACAGTAACTTGTCTTACTTCTTCAGTGACAATTTCATGTAAATCTGGAATGCTCAAATCTGCTTTTACAAAAGGAATCTTGTCCACCTCTTCAGGAAATGGTCGATGTTTCACAGAATATTTAAATCCAACATCATTTTTAGGAACTGGCCGAGGTTCTGGCACAAAAAGCTGTCAAAATAACACAAATGACATTATAGGTATTACACATCATCCAGCAACTACCTCCATGATGTGTCTTCAGCCATGTCCCTGGTCTACTTTAATGCTTCTATTTTCCTAGGCATGCACATCACCAACACTCAGCAAGAATCTGCACATGCTGTACATGTGGTGCAAATAGGAAAGCTATATACTTTTATATACTTTTTTATATACAGTGTGCTCAAAACTGTATAGTGTGCTCAGTTTCATTATTCTAAATATGTTTGTCAACTTATAGATTTCATGACTAATAAATAGCTTTGGACCTCTACTGCTCAGTCATCCACATTCAATTCTAAGTTAATGATTAAGGGAGTTTAGAGTTTTAAGACTCAAATTTCCAGCCAAGTGTGGTGGTACAAACCTTTAATCCCAGCACTTGGGAGGCAAAGGCAGGCAGTTCTCTGTGAGTTCCAGGCCAGCCTGCTCTACAGAGCAAGTTCCAGGACAGCAAGGGCTACACAGGGAAACCCTGTCAGAAAGAAAGCAAGAGAGAAAGAAAGAAAAGAAAGAAAAAGAAAGAGAAAAAAAGAACTCAAACTTGAAAATGTGCACTGCCCTAGGTTGTATCCTCAATGCAAAACAAAATGAAGACAAAAACAAAAAACAAAAAAAAACAAAGATCCAGACTTCCTTTTTTTCCTAAGAGCTCTCCAGTCACTTCACAAAATAAAATGTAAGTTCAGCTCCCCAGGCATCTCTAGAAAGTGTTCAATCAGAACCTTAGCTAAATTTACTATTACTAGAGCATGGGCCCTCGCTTGTACACGGCATACTTGGACCTTCAGTGAATTCGGTGCCTTTCCTATTCTGCTCCCTCTGAGTCTTACAGAGTCACTGATGGAATACAATTGGCTCAGTTCATTAACAGACTCAGGGGTTAAATTTGGAGAGATCCAAATGCTGGGGAAAAGAAAACTCTTAGAAAGTAATAATTTAAAAAGCAGTAAACTTTATACAGAAAGAAAAGTGAACGAAATTCAGTAAATCATGAACTATCAAACTATGGCTAGCTCTTGCTGAAAAGTAACTACAAGGGATTTAACATTTCTTTATCTGAACTTTCCAACAAGTAGAAAATAGCCATTTAATTTTAAATACTAAAAAATATTGCAGTAAACTGTATAGCATATTAGCAATTATACAGAATGAATCACACAAAACAATGTGAAACTAAGTCCTACATGCCAGACCTCTCAAAGGCCTATGCAAACGTCTCCCATATGCAGTATGTGTCTGACTTTTAAAGCTGCATAGAAGTGAGTTCGAGGCCAGTCTGGTCTACAAGAGCTAGTTCCAGGACAGGAACCAAAAGCTACGGAGAAACCCTGTCTCGAAAAATCCAAAAAAAAAGTAAATAAATAAATAAAAAATGAAGCTACATAGAAGTATGCCTGGGACCACTGATGGAGGAAGGTAATTGGCTAATAAAGGCACTGCCCTGGCCCATTTTATTGGTTAGAGGATAGGTGGGAGGAGTAAACAGAACAAAATGCTGGGAGGAAGAGGAAGTGAGCTCAGAGACTCCACAGCTCTGCTCTCCTCCTGGGAGAAGACGCCTGAGAGAGACGCCATGCTCCCAGCTCCTGGGCAGACACACGCCATGAAGCAAGCCGCCAGGTTAGACATGCTGAACCTTTCCCGGTAAGACCGGTGCTCACCAATTATTAGAGATGGGTTGATCGGGATAACAGAATTAGCCAGTAAGGGCTAGGGCTAAAGGGCCAAGCAGTGTTTAAAAGAATACAGTGTCCGTGTAATTATTTCGGGGCATAAGCTAGCCGAGCAGGCGGCTGGGGTGCTGGGGACGAAGCCCCGCCGCCCTTATTACTACAGATGGCGCCCCACGTGATGGACTAAATCCACTTAAAAAACCTGAGAAGACTTAAAAATAAGGGAGAGAGAGTTTAACACAGATTTTTGCTGTTTGTTGGTGGCGTGCTGTAGAGAGATTTCCTGATTCGGCAACAGTAGCAAAAAAAAAAAAAACAAAAAACAAAAAAAAAACGCTGTGTCATTTTAAAGTGCGACTTCCTGGGGCTGTGCTGCCATTGTGATCTCTGTCTGGCTCCTGCGGGAAACAGAGCTTTTGAATAGAGCATTTGGAGTAAAGTGCTATGATTTGTTTGATGGCAACTAGACTCGGGTTGTGTTCTCGGGTCTACTCTGCTTGCCAGAGGCAAGCAAGCGCCTCATCTAAGAGAGGCTTCCTGACTCAGCTTTAGCTGCAAAGCCTGCAGCTCATTAAGAGGTCCTGCCACGAAACACTTAAACGGTGTTGACGAAAAGCTGAACGCATGCTTTTCGGTTTTCAGCCTTAGCAGGAAAAAAGCTGCGCCGTTTAAAAATGCTGGCTTTCTGGGCCATCCTGCCAGGGCAAACTCTGACTGTTTGAGGCAGGAGGGCCGGCTACCAAGAGAGGACATGAGTGTTGTCTGTTGTAGCTCACTTGCTGGCAGGGACCTTGAAATGCCATACAGTTGTTGCAGTAAACATGGCTACAGCCTGTATATCAGCCATGAGGCTGGAAAGCTAAGGAATGGGCTGGATCCAGCAGGCAAAGCCACGCCTTTAATCCTACTGATATTGCTTGGTAAATTAAAGACTCGTTTGGTCAGAAAAAGATATACAGTAAAGAGAGATTCAAAGACAAAGAAAATTTCTAAATGGTTTGAAGTGTGTTAAAAATATATGCAGACTAAAATTTAAAGTTCTTAAAAGTAACAAAAAAAAAAAAAAGGAAGAGAGTTGTTGTGTGTGGTAGCACACGCCTTTAATCCCAGTGCCTAGAAGGCAGAGGCAAACAGATCTCTGTGAGTTCAAGGTGTAGTAGCATACACCTTTAATCCCTAATGCCTGGGAGGCAGAGACAGGCTGATCTCTGAGAGTTCAAAGACAGCCTGGTCTACAGAGTTACTTCAGGTCAAAGATACAGAGAACCTATCTCAAAAAGCAAAAAGTTAAAAGTAAAAATAAACAAAATAGAGGTTAAAACAAAGCTGTACAAAGATGGAAAATAGACAGAGAATCTTGATACTGTATGCTATTATGTTCTCTTTGAATTATTTGAATGCTGAGGAAGGAGTAACAGCTGCTAAAAGATATTTATTTATAAATACTGCTGAACTAATCCAACATAGATATTATGAATTTGGATCTAAGGATATGATACTTTGGAAAGGAGTTTCTTATTTTGTTTTCACAGAGGATGAGATGCTGTTCATTTCTTCTATTCTGATTTGGTATGATGGACCACGCCCTCCTGAAGGGTTGCAGTGAACATCTTCAGAAAATTGCTTCGCTCAACTGCCAACTGAGATGAAACTAGCACACAGGTTATACCATGAAAGACCTAATTAACGACGCCCCCATTCAGCAGGAAGCAGTTTGGAGAGAAATAACTGCGCCCATATTCCCAAATAATGTTTATAAATGTTCTTTTACATTTAAAGGGGGGATATGATATAGGTATGAATAATTTGCATTAGTATAGATTTTGCTTTATTGATAGAGATTTAAGGTCAATTTTGTTATATGTATAAGTGTTTCTGATTTTGATTAAGGTATTGTGATTGTGTAGTTCATTTAAATATGTACTGTATAATTAAGAAATATAGGTTGTTAATGGATAATCATCGATAATAGTAAAGCTTGTAGTCATGTTAGTTAATATTTTCTAGATGTGCGTAGATATATTTTAGATAGACATTCTTCATGTCTTTCAAAGATTACAGAATAGGACTTTTCATGACAATGAGACACTCTGCTCCTGACAGCACCAATCTACTTCAAGAGGAAGATGGGCATCGAAGAGGCTCGTTATGGAGTTTGATAGCCATTTGGGCAAGAAACTGCTCTTGCCTGGACTATTGCATAAACTGGACACAGAGAACCCGCAGAGAGAGGACTACTGAACTTGCCTAAGGTGAGATGATCTTTCGGAGTTCCTGATTCATGAAAGAGTCTGCAAGACATTCTGCAGGACACAACAGATAGTGACTGAACTGACTTTGAATTTTCCTGCTTTATGGAAATGTCTGCTGGATACCATGGGTCTGAAGGCTGAAGATGGATGCCCCAACGGTACAGAGGAACTTTGGGTGACTGTCCAGGCAGCGAGATGTCTCTATCATTTCTAGAGTTTTAAAAGTTGCTTTTTTCCTGTTTGCTTATGTAGTATTGTATCTTTCTGGAGTCTTTGATGGAGTTAAAAAATAGTTGGTTATAGTTATAGTTTTCCTTAGTTATGATAAAGATTATTGTAACTTTTACTTGATAACTGTTTTGTTATATGTAATTTTGCTATGTGAAAGTTAAAGCTTTTTTTTGGTTTAAACCGAAAAAGGGGAAATGATGGAGGAAGGTAATTGGCTAATAAAGGCACTGCCCTGGCCCATTTTATTGGTTAGAGGATAGGTGGGAGGAGTAAACAGAACAAAATGCTGGGAGGAAGAGGAAGTGAGCTCAGAGACTCCACAGCTCTGCTCTCCTCCTGGGAGAAGACGCCTGAGAGAGACGCCATGCTCCCAGCTCCTGGGCAGACACACGCCATGAAGCAAGCCGCCAGGTTAGACATGCTGAACCTTTCCCGGTAAGACCGGTGCTCACCAATTATTAGAGATGGGTTGATCGGGATAACAGAATTAGCCAGTAAGGGCTAGGGCTAAAGGGCCAAGCAGTGTTTAAAAGAATACAGTGTCCGTGTAATTATTTCGGGACATAAGCTAGCTGGGCAGGCGGCTGGGGTGTTGGGGATGCAGCCCCGCCGCTGCCCTTATTACTTCAGACCACTGTTTAGAATAGTAGTCCTTATTCCTAATTGAGTATCAGCATCACTGGAAAAACTTTTGAAAACTACCCTTGCTTTATAGACACCTGTAACAAGTTCAATAGACCCAGAATTCTAAGTTCCTAAGATGATTCTTTTTTTTTTTTAATATTTATTTATTATGTACACAGTGTTCAGCCTCCATGCCTGCAGACCAGAAGAGGGCACCAGATCTCATTACAGATGGTTATGAGCCACCATGTGGTTGCTGGGAATTGAACTCAGGACCTCCGGTAGAGCAGTCAGTGCTCTTAACCTCTGAGCCATCTCTCCAGCCCTCCTAAGATGATTCTTAAGTAAATTCATTGACAGAGGACCTTGCCAGGGATCAGAAACATATAACCTGTGACTTTCTGTTGGAATGTTATTTAGCCTTTAAATCACACACGGACACACACGCGCACAATCATATGCACCCATATATATGTACTCACTCACACACTGTAACTTCTGATGTACCTTCTGATTTGCTTTTGCTCCTCTGGGTAAAAGGCAAAGCTGCTGAGCCCAAGCAAGTCTTCCCGACATTCCCCGGACCAGCACAGTGACAGAGGGGAAAAAATCGTCTAGAATAAAATTGATATAAAAAAAACTTTTACTTCAGATAACAACCATATAATATACAACCTGCTATCACCTGCAGATCCCTTCAGATCAAAGCCCTAGCACAGTGCCTCCTAAATGGCAAAGCCATGGCTAAGCACCATGACTACCACCCCACTCTGGACCAACTCTAGTTTGACTCTCCTAACATCCTCACATTCCTCTACACGTATGTTTTGATGAAATGGTATCTATCATGGCAAACACTCTTAAACTTCCAGTGCTGAAGACAACTTTTATGAAAGAAAACAGGCTGGCTATCTATAGTGTTGACAGACATTTGCTCTTAGAGATCAGGGTCCTGCTACTGTAGGCAGACACTGTTTCCTCCCAGCAGAAGTTCAGGGACATGTCAAAGTTCAGGATCCATTTTATTCCCTTTCATTGTCTCAGTTATGAGAATCAAAAGTGGTTCAAACTCTCTCATTTCTTCTGTTATTAACTATTTCAATAAACAATCTTAATTGTATAAAAATTGTTAATTTTTTTAATTTTATTTTTTTTGTAGACTACCTGTGCAGTAAAGTTACTTGGAATAAGAGTAAGGCAAGCCTAAAAAACCTTGCAAGAGAACCCGGAAGCTTAAAGGGGACACTAAGATTCTGCAGGCTGTTCAGCAAATGACTTAGGGGTAGGAGGATGGTAAAATAATGAAAAGTAGGCAGCAAGGAGAGAAAGCCAGGCAAGCCTTAGCTCTGGGGTAAAGAAGGCAGAGTTGACCAATGATGAATAGTGCCATTCTATTTCATACAAATGTCACTAAACTTAACTATGCTACGATGGAAATAGTGTCCTTCTATTGCAACCAGGGCTAGGTTTCTCATCTTGTAGAATTATGACATCCTGCTTATAGTCAACAGAAGCTGTACAGGACTCAAAGACTCCGCTTACCTTTGCATGTGTCTTTAGTCACTGAGGAAGTCCTACTGTGGTGGGACAACAACAGAAAATAGTATTGTTTGGATAACCTGAATTTGAATCCTAGTTATATACTTCTCAAGTTACCCTAAGTAAATCACGCACCCTCTGTGAGCCTCATAACTGTGGGATAGTGCATGTTTTGTCAATAAACAGTCACTGAAGTTTTTTCACCAGATCACATCTACATGCTTAAGGATGAACACTATGGTGCAAGGAGGGAAGTGGGAAGGGGAAGCAAATTTTTGAACTGCCAAAGGGGATATCAGACCAGGTAGAAAGAAAATGCAACAAATCAACATAAGAAATTAATAAGGCCTTGCATTTAGATGTACTGGGAGGAATACAGAGGAAAGATCCAAGAGTCACTGGGGTAGTAGAGACATTGAGACTAATTATGTAAGGAAGTGACAGGAGGAGGAAACAAAGATGACTATCTCAAATTTCTAGCCTGTGTGGGCAGTAGTAACCAAAACAGAACAAGTATGGGTGAAGGGAAAGGGAGTAGAGGGGCAGGATCCAAGGTTCACAAGGAAAGAAAGACCGACAATGACTTTTATATATAGTAAATATAAAATATCTCTCTAACGTAAACTTTACATTAAAGTTTGAGACACTTTTTCAAGCATACATAAATAATCTTTAAACATTTCTACTTTATTGACACATTCTATTTTCTGACCTCTGTTTCTCCAGTGGTTTATCTTATACCTCCAAGTCTTTCTGATAAATAGTTACTTGGAATTCAGACTGTGCTTGCCTGGGAAAACTGAGAACACGTTGTTTGAGCAGTAGAGAAAGCTAAGAGTGCTACAACTTACTCTGCTCATTTCCAAGCGGTTGCTCCAGCATTGCCAGGATGACACTGTTATCCAAGACAAAGTACCGGAAGCTATGCTTGTTTATGGTTGGCAGCCTGGAGTATTTGATGAGAGTGGTCTCATTCACCAGACTACAAGGAGAGGCAGGACCACTGGGTGAAGGAAACGCGCCAAGCAACTGCATGATACTACGGAGAATGGAATAAAGAACAATTAATTCCTAAAGAAAATTCTAACTTGACCTTTTCAATCTATATATCCTTCTGCTCCTCTGAATTAACTGGACACAGTTATGCTTCCTCTTCACAGGTCAGATTTACTCTTTGCAGCAAAAAATACCCTGACATGCTGGGTAGAATCTGTACCCCAAGAATGAAAGGTCTTCTCCCAGATGTTGTGGGTGTTGACGTCCACACCCAGACGCAGAGTAACAATAGCCACAGCTTTCAACTGACCTACGAATTGCCCTCAGCCATGGACGCCTCACTGGGGGCCACTGCTTCTTTCAGGACTAGACCACATTCAACTACTAGTTAGTGCAAGGTTCCTAGGTACCAGTCCCCCTCCCCCAGCTGGAAAGAACACTCAAGGTCAAGTCAGCTTGAGCATTTTGTTGCAACTGCCTCTACTGTCCAGCACTTTTGTTCTTCTGCCTGCCCAGTCCTGCTTTATCCCATATTGCAAGCAAATTTCTCTCTTTTACCCAGGGAATATGATGGACTACAGTTCCAAATCAGGAAACTCCTAAATATACATTTAAAATTCTGCTTGTGTGCTCCAGGTTTCTGGATTATGACAGCCAAGTATCTTAGGCTAAGAAAAGGATAAAAAGATCAGCCAGATCCCATCACTTTTCAGAAAAGGAAATGTAAAACTCCAAAGAGCTAAGTGATTATTAAGAGGCCAAAAATCCCAGGACCTGCTGACTACTTCCTGCATATCCTGGAATACATATATCCTCATTTCAAGTAAGGAGTCTGAGGCACTAAGAGTTAAATCTCAAACTGTCATAAATAAATCTATGACACAAAATGCTTTATCAAGCAGAGTTCCACTGATCAAGACTTACCATTCAGAAACGTTTGTATGTATACACTTAATGTACACATAGAGAGAGGGGGAATAAAAATTTTTGCATACAAGCAATGAAATAAGTACCATCATTATTTCCATTTTTATTACCATTTATTATTCATTTATAATACACTGACGCTCAAAGGAAAAGCATTCTGTATTTAAACAGATTTTTACCATGTAGTATCAATGTGGCCTTTCATATGCATCCCATACAGAAAACTACTCAACACCTTTGTGTATGTGTACACATATGAATGTGTGTTGCATGTGTGTTATATGCATACATGGGAGTTGTATATGTGGAGGAAATGAAGAGTCCTGTTCTATCATTTCCTACCTTAATCCCTTAAGACTGTGTCTCTTAATAACTATGGAACTAGGCTGGCAGCCAATAAGTCCCAGTGATCTTCCTGTCGCCGACTTCCCTTTCAGCACTGATATCACAGGAATGCACACAGCCCTGTCTAGTTTTTCACATGGGTACTGGAGATCTGAACCCAGGAACTCAGGCTTGTTCAGCAAACGCTCTTACTCACTGAGCCATCTCCACAATCCTTAACACCATTTATCAATCAATCTTCAGCTTGGACACCTTGGCCTCAGCTAAGATCTCTGATGATGGAAGGCACTGTTTTCTAGCAGATGTCTTCCTTGCAATTTTCACTCCTCCTAGGATGACTGCTACAATTCAAGGAATGAGGGAACTCAGTAAGTTTAGGACTCTAATGACTGTGGAAAACAGGAGTCATCCAGGAGACTAGTACTAAGAAAATACAGCTTTGGCTTTCTCCAGCAGAACAGAGACAGATGTCACAAAGCCCACAGACCAGGTGAGCTTGTCATGTTCCATGGAAGATCTATGATGTATCAAACAGGCCTTTGGAAGAGGTTATGCAGCTTAGATGAAATCATTACCAGCCTCATCACATTCTTCTTTTCCTGGTAGTGACTAGACTGGAATGTTGAGTAAACATTTTTGAAATTATGACAAGTACTTGACTGTGTCATAATAAACCTGTAGATAAAGTTTAAACATCGTTGTGAACCTCCAGAGAGTCTCTGCTGATATGTTCTGAGGTTCAACCTCTGCTTTCTATAAGCAGTGTTCAGACAACAACACACAAAACAAACTCATAATATTTGTTCATGCCTGTATGCTAATACCTAGAAAGCTGAGGCAGGAGGATTGACATGAATTTGAGGCCAGCCTGGGCTTTAAAAAGTTGAGAATCTGCCTCAAAAACAAACAAGAACCAGGAAGATGGCTCAGTGGGCAGAGACTATTATTATCAATTCCAACAAGCAGAGTTGGAGTCCCTGGAACTCACATGAAATGGATTTGAAAAGATTCTCAAAAGTTGTCTCTGACATCCATATGCCCATGCATACATATGAATACATGCTTTGTTTTTAAAAAGAGCAGAGTGTGGTAGTGCACACATTTAATCCCAGCACTTGGGAGGCAGAGGCAAAAGGATCTCTGAGAATTCAAGGGCAGCCTGGTCTACACAGTGAGTTCTAGGACAGCCAGAAAGAACTGCATAGTGAGACCCTGTCGTGGAGGAGGGGAAAAGCAAAATAATTAAAGAAAACAAAAACCTATAAAAGACTAGAACTTAATCTGCAGATATCATATATCAGAATAAGAGTTAGGTTTTAAAAAGACTAGAGATAATGTGGAATATTTACAAAAAGAAATTTCAACACTGTGCAAATAAGCACAGGATGAGAACAACAGATGAAAAGGAAACATGAAAAGGCAAGAGTCCAGTTAACTCAATGTGACTCTCCAGTGAGCAAAGTCTTCTTGCTGTCTCCCAATAAAGGTTGATGAAACACACTGTTCTATAGAGTCTGAAGACATTTGGATCCCATATAGTACACTGTACTCAGTGATCCTCCTGTGAGAGATACATGGTCAAAGCTATACAGCTGGGTAACAGGATGATAAAGGTACTCAAATGCATGTAATACCAAAACCATGTGAAGGCAGTAGCAGAAAGGAACCAGAGCAACATAAACACTGTCTTTGTATACTGCTCCTGCCTGGAGAAAGAATTACTACCAAAAGTCTGAATAAGAACCAATGAGAACAAGTTAACATAAGAGATTTTAGTTTGATATAGAACATCAAGCTTTTAATAATTAAAATAAATCTTAGGGGCTAGACTCTAAACCCAAATTAAATGCTAAGCATTTAGTAAATATGCCTTAAGCAAAAGAACCACTGAAATGACTTCTAAGAGCACAAATTCTGAATTTATACTTTTAATATGCCAACGTTATGTTATCAAAGACAGATGGGCATGTACCAAAAAAACTTGGTATGACTGTAACAGTATGGAACTCCACCTTATGTGAGACAGGCAGACAATGAGTGTGGAGGTAATGAAAACCACTGTCCTTCAAAAATCAGAATAATAAAAAGGTTTGTACAAGTAGCTAGTAGTGAGCATTGAACAGTAGGTAATGTTTGAAATACAGGAGAGATGCATAAGCAGGTATAAACATGCCCAGTTCACCACTTTAAGTAGTCCAACTATGGCAAGGGAGTGTTAGGGAGCAGTGGTGGGAGAAATCAAGCCACCTCCCTGACCCTCCACTAGAATTCAGACATGTTAGGAAACCAGAGATCTACTTGAGGTTTTTAACCACTCAAGCAGTAGGATGAAATAGTGTTGAAGAAGAGTTTAGCCACAGAGTACAAGACAAACAGGAAGAGTTAGACTGGAAACAGAAATCATGCAAGAAGTGAAGTGACCTAGTACAGAATACTATCTCAGGCTTCTGGGGACGGTGAGAGACCTTACAAAGAAAGTCTGCTCAACTTAGTTGCTGGACTCATGAGGAATGACAGAGACATAAATCCGGGGTTGGGGGACTGAAAACAATGGTGGCAGCTGGGCATAGTGGCAAATGCACTTGGGAGGCAGAGGCAGAAGGATCTCTGTGAGTTTGAGGCCAGCCTGGTCTACAGAGTGAGTTCCAGGACAGCCAAATATAGTGAAACCCTGCCTCAAAAAAAGTCAAAACAGAACAACCAATGGTGATGCTGACAAAAAAGCAGCAACTGTGAGAGAATAGAAAACTGACTGGGAACATTCTCCACCATGATGGAACACTGCACTGCTGAGGAGTGGAAACTAAAGACATTGTGGTGAACTGGCTAATAGAGACAAGACAGCAAAAAAATGAAGACCGGGCTATTCAGACAACTATAGGCTGAAGGAAAAAGACCCCAGGCACACAGGCAGCCCCCAGCGGCAACTATACTCTCACAGAGACAACAGGCTGAAGTGGAACAGGTTTCCTGCAGCACAAAGAACTCAAGAACTCTTAGTGAGCAAAGATTCTCTCTGCTTATCTCTCAGCCTTCTTCCTCTTCCTGACACATTATCAAGTCCCGATGCTGTGGAACTTTAAGGCTCCCCGTCCAGGTGTGACAAAAGCACATACTGTCATCACCAATTTTCTAGCTATTAGTTAAACCTCAACAAATGTATTCAAAGTCTAGCTGTTATCATAGAGCACAGCTCTAAACAAAAGCAAGCATACTGAGAATTATGACTGAAGCTCAAGAACAACAGAAACAAATCCAACTAATCTGAATATAACCCAAAGGACACTGCACTCACAAAGGATGTCAGGATCTTAGGCAGAGCTGATTTACACACAATCTTCCAGCCAGCCCTTACTAACCTGACACTCTTCCTTCCTTTAGTTCTGTTTTCCTAGGTTTTTGTTCATACTCCTTGCATGAGCCATATCTTTACATATTCTAGGAAACAATGCAATCTCTACTTATGCAGACTATTCAATCTACAGATGCACCCAAATCCAGTCCTCTTTCCCGTCCCCCCATCCACCAAGTACAAAGGACTTTCTCAGCTCTTTCTGCCACTCTTTCAAAGAAACAACCTCTTGTTTCCATGTGGCAAACATTCTTAATTGCCTGCAATGCTGCTCACAGCTCAAACATTACCCATCCTCTCAGTCTCCATCAATGAAGTTCCATAACTCACTCACCTACTCCCAGTTGTAACTCTTCTTTTGGGGTACTTACTATCCACCAATATTGAAAGACTTTGTACCAGATAGTACTCATTAGGTAACTGAATCTGATTTATCTGCATGATTCTATTACCAAGCTCTTAACAGGGAGTTTAAAAAAAAATCTTAGCTGCAATAGAACATGAAAGATGTAGAAGAGACCAGCACTGGGTAGCAGATCTGATGCTGTGTCACATCTCCTCTCTAGGTTAAACCATCAAAGGAGATGAAGTAGCTCTAAGATAATTCCTAGCTCAAATATGAGTTGACTGAGTTATCAGTTACTATGGAAATGCAAAGATCCCAAATTTCTGGTTTCTTGTTGATCTAAGAATAAATACAAAAAGGGTATTCCCTTTCCATTTTGTGTCTGGAGATGCAGTACCCTACAGGGACTGAGTTACTCCGTGCTGAACAAGGAAGACAGAGCAGCACAGAACACTGCTGCCCTGTCTGTTACAGCTCAGTCTTCAGCAGCTGCTTCCATACCATGTTAAAGTGGCTTCTGCAGCATCCTTTACCCTCATGGACGCAGGGTTTGGCTCCTTATCGCCTTTGTACTTGACCTCTTGCTCACTGTTTTTGGACTTGCTTCCTGAGATACCCAGTTCTACAATCTCCAATACTTCCTTAAGGCAATCCTAGAAGTAGGAAAAGACAATGATTTTTTAAAAATATTTTTCAAACACATTTATTTATTTAAGAGACGGTGTATGTGTGTTTGTGTACAAATCAAGGGCAGAGAACAATTTTTGAGAGCTGGCTTTCTCCTTGCACCATATAAAACTCAATGATCAAAATCAAGTCATCAGACTTGGGGGCAAGCACTCTTACCTAGTGAGCCATCTCACAACCTCAGGTTGGTTAAGAGAAGACAAGGAAACCATAACAATGGTTATGTTTTAGGGTAATGTTCCAGTTGCTAATGCTCTTTAACAGATATGTTTGCATCATAATAAAATAAATTTATACTTCCATTAAGTTTCTCTTAAAAGAACTAAATTTGTATGTTCAGAAGAAGACTAAAGATAGGTTTTAATTTTATAAATTACAGAGCTCACAAAATTGTCAAGGAATGAGTAAAATAGATTCCGAAGAAAATTCTGCCAAACCCAGATGGTAAACATACCAAAGAGGTTAATTATTCTTTTTTTTTTTTTTTTTTGGTTTTTTGAGACAGGGTTTCTTTGTGGCTTTGGAGCCTGTCCTGGAACTAGCTCTGTAGACCAGGCTGGTCTCGAACTCACAGAGATCCACCTTCCTCTGCCTCCCGAGTGCTGGGATTAAAGGCATGGGCCACCATCGCCAGGCTAATTATTCATTTTTTGAGGCAGGATCTCACTATGGAGTTCAGGCTGACCTCAAACTCACTATGTAGCCCAAGCTGACCCTGAACCCAGGACCTCTGCTTCTTAAGTGCTAGGATTACAGGCAGTTGTTATCATCCCCAACATCAATGACTAACATTTTAAAATAATTTCTATTTAAAACTGTTTTGTATAACAGAGTTTCACGTAGCCCAGGCTGGCCTCTAACTCATTACATAGCCAGAGTTGACCTTGACCTTCTGATCCTTCTTCTACCTGCCAAGTACCTGGAACTACAAATAGGCACCACCACAGCTGGTTAATGTAGTGCTAGGGATCAAGCTGAGTGCTTCAAAAATGCTAAGCAAGCATTGTATTAAACTTGGCTACAAGTCTAGTATAATTTTTGACATCATAACTTTGAAAGCTGTGATGAAAATAACTCATATTTTATCAACAAAATTACTTACAAAGATCTCTTCCTTTCTAAATATCAGTGATCTTGGGAAGCTCTCATGTCACTGAGCTTATTATGCCTGCTTCCCTCTAAGGTACAGTGGGGAAAAAAAGACTAGATATCTGTGCCCATTTAAAATTGCAGAAATCTGTGAGAAATATGATGTTTCAATAAAAGTAACTTGTACAGCCAAACTGTGCCCTAGCTTTGTAGTTTCACAATTAAGTGCCCGTCTTTGATAATAGGAAAACAAATAGCTTTAATAGCTATCTCCAGTCTTCCATCCTATTAAAAAAAAAAGTACTTTTCCAGATACAGCAGTTGCATATATGAGCCCATAGCGACTGTGAAAGCATACAAAAGGCTTGAGTTTGCTCAACCAAAATTTCAGCACAAAGATGGTAGAAATAGGCAGAAATTATTATCACTAGCTGGGGAACTATAAGCATATGTGATCATATATGATAGCTGCTAGGAGAGACAGAATCAACTTTCTTCAATGACAGGATCAGTGGTAGGCTGACCACACTCCAGGGCAGACCCATTACCAATAGTAGCTAGGAAACACAAACTGAACTCAATAGATGAGAAAAAAAAAATCTCAAAATTGGGTGGGAAGTGAGGGTAGGTCTTGGTAAAAGAAGATGATATGTTGAAAATACAGTTTGAATTTTTACTATAATTAATGAGAATATCATTTTTTATAAAAGAAAAATTAGGCAAGATCTTCTCTTTCAGAAAGAATTTTTCTGAGCCAGGCGGTAGTGGCGCACACCTTTAATCCCAGCACTGGCCGACTGCACTGGTATACAATGTAACTACACACAGAACTGATGGCATGCTTCCAGAGGCAGAGGCAGGCGGATCTCTGGGAGTCCAAGGCCAGCCTGGTCTACAAGAGCTAGTTCCAGGACTGGCACCAAAGCTACAGAGAAACCCTGTCTCGAAAAACCAAAAAAAAAAAAAAAAAGAATTTTTCTGTGGAATTATTGGAAACAAATCTAAGCACAATGACAGTTTATAAATTATGCTCAAAAGATAAGTGTCCTACTGAAATCAAACAAGTACATTCAAAGTATATGACACTGTATTTAAATTCAGATATTCTCTTTTAAAAGGTATTTTCCCAACAAACAGTTTTATTCCTACTTTGTGTTTCAAGACTGAATAAGCTCACCTTTTCATCCAGCATATCAGGGTGCTCTGTCAGCCAGACACAGAGACACTGAAATGCTGCCACTATCATGGAGTGCAGATCCCGGGAGTGAAGAGGAGCTGGCCGACTGCACTGGTATACAATGTAACTGCACACAGAACTGATGGCACGCTTCCGGTCTCCCAAGTCAACCATCACCTTCACCTAAGCATGTCCATTTAAGGAACAAAATCAGTTAGTCAGGAGCCACTACACCAAGCATTTGCCCTGCAACTGAGCCTATCTGATAATGTGATACACAGAGGCCTTGTTTTAAAATATTATTTATATACAGGAACAGAATATTACAGATATACTATAAAAAAAAGTGACATTCTCAAACCCTAAGACAGTACTTTAACATGGTTGTTTACACCTTAAAACTCAAAGCTCTTGAGTGCACTTATGCATATTGTAAAATGTGTAGGAATGGCCAGCAATGGAATATGTGTGTGCTTTTAAAGTCCCTAACCCAACCTCATAGTGATGGTTTTTGCTCTCCACAAAGTCTAGTGAAATGGCTTAGCAGTTCAATTACGAATTACAGTAAGCTACATGATCAAAATATGTAACAACCTGGTCTAGAAAAGCTAGTTCCAGAACAGGAACCAAAAGCTACGCAGAAACCCTGTCTCGAAAATCAAAAAAAAAAAAAAAAAAAACACAAAATATGTAACCTAAAAAAAAACCATCACTACAATCAGAAAATGAATATAAACATCACCCCCAAATGTCCTCATGCACCTCTGTAAGCTTTTTCCCATGCCTCTTGTCCCCCTCTGTGAGGTACTGCTTATCTGTTATTATTATAGATCAGACTACAGTATCTACTTTGGGGAAAGGTATTTAACATAATTAATTACTTCCAGATGTATCTACTTTTCGTAATGCTTCTTTTTATTGAGTATATTCCAGTGTATGAATACAGCACAATTTGTCTACCCAGTAACCTGTTAATAGACATCTAGGTTATTTCCATCCCATGGATATTACAAATATAGTTGCTATGAAGATCCATGTCATTGACTGGATGCATGTTCTCTTATATACTGGGACTGGAATAAGAGGGTCATAAGATACATGTTTTATTAAATTTTTAAGGATCTGCCAAACTGTTTTCCAAAATGGTTATTACAGTTAACATTCTCATTCACAGTTTCCTTATATCCTCATCATTTAGTATGGTCAATCTTTTTAAGTTTAGCCTCCTTCCCTTTCTTCCTTCCTTCCTTCCTTCCTTCCTTCCTTTTTCTCTTTCTCTCTTTCTTGTGTATGAAGAGGCCACAGAAGAACTGCTGGGTGCCTTTCCTATCACAGTGGTTCTCAACCTTCCTAATGCTGCAACCCTTTAATACAGTTCCTCATGTGGTGGTAATCCTCAACCATAAAATTATTTTTGCTACTACTTCATAACTGTAATTTTGATATGGTTATAAATAGTAATGTAAATATGTGTGTTTTCCAATGGTCTTAGGAAACCCCTGTGAAAGGTCATTCAACCCCCAAAGGGGTCTCAACCCACAGCTCTGTCACTTTCTACATTATTCCCTTGAGAAGGGGTCTCTCATACAACCTAAAGTTTCCTGTTTCAGCTATGCTGACAGGCTAGAAAACTCCTGGGATCTATTTCTACCTGAGGTCCATGTGGTCATTTCAAGCTTTTTAAATAGGTGCTGGGGACATGAATTTAGGTCCTCATGCTTGCATAGCAAGCACTCTTACCCTAAGCTATTCTCCTAGTCCTCAATTTTAGCCATCCTACTGAGCATGTAATAGTATTTCATTTCCCTAACAACTAGTGATATTGAGGTAGGAAAACTCACCTTAAAGGAGAGTGGCACTATTCCCTGGGTTTGGGTCCTGGACTGCATAAAAAGGAGGAAGCCAGCTGAGCACAAGCATTCATCTGCTCTCTTCTTCCTGACTGCAGACTCAACGTGACTAGCTGCTTCAAGCTCCTGCCACCTTGACATCCCCGCCATAATGGACTGTACCCTTGCACTGTGAGCCAAAATAAACCCTTCCATCCTTAAGTTGCTTTCGTCAGGGATTTTGTCACAGCATGAGACAAGTAACTAATACATTTTTACATTTCAGTTTACAATCAATTTTTAGCTGATTTTTGTACCTACCATATACAAAACAGGTATGAAACCAAGTTTTCTACCATTAGCACTGGTCAAAAACACTAACCTTTCTCCTTAGAGTTATCTTTGCACCTTTGTTAAAAACCAGACAGCCACACGGGCGTGATCATGAAGTCTCAATTATAGACCACTAATCTATTCATTCAATCCTGCTCTAACACAAGACTGTTTTAATCAATTGTATCTTTACAGAGAGTTATGGAATCAGGTAATATTAACCCATTATATATGATGACACAGGTCCAGAACAGAGCTCCATACAAGCTAAACACATCTTGAACTAAAAGCAGACCACAGTCATAGGGAGCAGCACCTTGCTCTCTGTGTGGTCCACCATTTCTCATGAATGGCTATCCTAATGTTTAAATCAGCAACTGCTCCACATATATCTATTCATTTGGGAATTTCTTTTTTTTTAAGATTTATCTATTAATTATATATACAGTATTCTGTCTGCATGTCTGCTGCAGAACAGAAGAGGGCACCAGATCTCATGAGAAATGGTTGTGAGCCACCATGTGGTTACTGGAAATTGAACTCAGGACCTCTGGAAGAGCAGTCAGTGCTCTTAACCTGAGCCATCTCTCCAGCCCCTCATTTGGGGATTTCTCAGTTAAATTCCAAGTAATGTTGAGAACATACTAAGTTTTCTTGTCTATTTTGTCTCTCAAAATTTGTAAGACAACTTTAAAGTAAAGGTCTAAACTTCATCTCAGACACTACCACTCTGTGATGAGTATTACTACATGACCACAATATATTTTATACTTTCATCTCATCTGATCCTCCTCACAACACCAAGTGGTATTTGAAAAATAATCTTTTCCATTTCAATAATAAAAAAATACTCAGATGCTAGTGAGGATGTGGAAAAAACTGGAATCCTTGCATGTTGCTGGAAGGAATGAAAAAGGACTCGGGAGCCGTGGAAAAACTATTTGCAGCTCTTCAAAAGTTAAACAGAATTTTCACAACCCTAAGAATTTCACTCCTTAGTGAACTGAAAACTGATATTCCAAACAAATACATGTTCCCATACATCCACAGCAGCTCTACTAGTAAAGTCTAAAGACGGAAACAGTCTAAATACCTCTCAGTTGATGAGCAGGCAAACAAAGAGTAATAATTACATTCAGCATGGTGCTGTGCAATCATAAAAAAGGCCCGACCCAAAAAAATTACTTCTCAAGTGAGAAAAACAGGCACTCTTGAAATGACACACATTACATGATTTTCCTACTGATCCCTTTCTGTGAATGGTCCTGATTAGGTAGAGCCAAAGAAGCAAAATGAAGACGAATGGCTGTCAGAGGTGGTGGCTGGGAAAGTGAACAAGAAAGCAACTGTTTTGGGGCTTAGGGATTTCCCTCCAGGATGACAAAAACACTTAGAAATATCAGTTCACTGCAAATGTACTGACAGGACTGAATCACTTGCTTTAAAATGGCTAGTTTTATGTTACATGAATTTCAGGGAGAGAGCAAGAAAGAGAGACTGAGGTTTAAGAGCAAGTGAACCCCATTTCTAAGGTTCCACAAAACTTAAATAACTGAGAGAAAATTGAATATATAGTCAATATTTGCTTAATACTGATAACAGAAAATAGTAATCACAGAAATATTTTATAATAAATGTTCTTTATAAAAGCAATAAATATACTATTATGTGTAAATAGTCACCAGTATTAAAATGTTTTCTATACCTTAACAGAAATATTCATATCCTTTGCACCTATTTTTCATTTTGCAAAATTCACTTGGAGGTTCAATTTTGTATATTCTGGATGTAAAATATGCACATGTACTGACAACCCTAAAATACCTACACAAAGGGGTGGATGTCAAAATACAGGAAAAAAAAAAAAAGGCATGACGCAAGTGTGCTGGACTGAAATAAGGGACAGTCCTCACCTTTGCCAAGCCAGAGAGGAGCTCCAGAGCCGCCAGGGATATGCTCATGTCTTGCCGCCACTGGGAGTTGAGTCTTTGGGTGACGAGATGAATGCTGCGAATCAGGAGCCCAGCAGCTGAATCTGTATTAAGAGCTAGGATATAACCCAATGCCACATCCACAGGGAGGGAAAACAACTAAGCATTAGTAACAGAAGCACAGCATTCCACCAGGCACAGACCACAGCAGCCACAGTGAGCACAATGGGCACCCACACAGAGCTATGCTCCCCGCCCACCGGCCTGAGCACCAGGCCTGACTGATGGTGTATGAGGCACATATGGGGCTGGGCCACACTCTGACAAAGAACACTATGGACTTGGCAATTTCAGTACCATCCTTATAAGGAAAAATAGTGTCTTAAATTTTTAAATAAATAACTTGTAGAATTTAATTTTCAAAAAGAACAATGAAAAGGCAACCAAATATTTCCTTAGAATTTTACAGAGGCAAGAATTCAACTGATAGCCTCCTCAGATGCTAGGAATTACCTTAAAGCATCTCCTACAATGACAAGGCTTAAACCAGTAAAACCACATGCAATGCCTCTTCAAACCCATATTTACATTCACCTCTTTACCACTATTTTAATACCTTTAAAAAGTTAAATGACCAAGTCACTGTTTTAACTTGGACTTCGATTTTAATTTAAAGTAGCTATTACTCATTAAAGAGTGAATTCCAAGAAATTAAACTAAGATAAATTAAACTGTAATTAAAAAGGAAGCTTTAGGGGCATTATACCTGTGGATCCTATCAGAAAGAGGGCAGTGACAACAGAAAAAGGAATGATCATTAAAGAGAGACAGTCATGCGACACTAACACAAATCTGGATTTTTTTTAGTAAAAGATATGACATAACAAGCAGAGCTCACTAACACCAGCTGAAAATGCTAGAACAAACAATCAGTTCAAACACTTATATACAACACATGCGGTAACGCAAAATTATCTTTCATTTTAAAATGTCTTAGAAAGTACAAGAAACAGTTCAACCTGGAGAATACCTAAATCTACATAAGGGGTAACCATTTAAATATACTATCTACATAATGACTATGTATTTGACATGCAAACGGGTAATGTGTCATACATTCAATTATGAAAGCATGCCTCATGCATATGGCTCATGGACTCTCCAGATGATTAAAAGTCAAGCTCACATCTAGGGAATTAGATATTCTAATCTCAAGGAATAAACAACGATTCAATCACTATCAGCATCTGTACATAAAACATAAAGTGCTCACACTAAGTTCATAAAATAACTACTCAGTGTAAACGACATCACTGAACAGGATGTTTTCCTGGCAAGTGTTTATTTAGCAGGGCAGAAAATGACTCTTTATTCTTGTAACTGAAGAACCTAATGAGACAGAATAGCTAGGTAAGTTTTAACATGGAGACACACACCTCTCTAGGTCTCCTCTAATACAACCTCCATCACTTCTCTCAACTGAGATTATGGGGCTCACCATCCATCTCTGCCATTATTCTCAGAGCTCTGAGGCAAGGCCCACATCTTATGTGAGCCTGTACCATCAGCGCCTAGTACAAAACCCAAACACCTCCTGAGCTCTCATCATAAACATCTGAAGAGCTAACAAACTCCAAAACCAGCTACAAGAAGTCATAAAAATACTTTTCCTTAGTTTTTTTAAACAAACATCTTCTGTCAATTATACCTAAGTACATAAAATTTTTATTTTTGTTTTAGATTCTTGAAAAGTTTTAGTTTTGCTTACGTGTAAATGCTAACAGACCATTTAAACACAGCTTACCGTAATCCCTTAGGAGAGCTTGAGCAGGTCTCTCACTGTCAGGCGTTGTAGGTTCTGTGCTTCCTCCACTTGCTGAACTAATGCCACTATTGGTACGACTATGACTCTTCAGGTTGTTTTCTCCACCACCCTAGTCAAACGAAAATGAGGCAAAATGAACAGTTCACAAGTATAAAAAGGTTTTTTTTTTTTATATTAAAACTTTGTTAGAGCCAGGTATTGATGGTAAATGCCTTTAAACCCAGCACTTGGGAAGCAGAGACAGGCAGATCTTTAGATCTTGAAAAACCAAAACAAACAAAATTGTTAAGAGCTGGGGCTATGGTTCAGGAGTACTGCACTTGCCTCATATACATAAGGCCCTGGGTTCATACCCAGTAATGCAAACATAACAGGTTAACTAGCACAAGGTGATACATAGATAAACAGACAAGGGATTAGAATCACTGTGGTATTGTTGTTCTGATGTTATCTGTTAAAAGGGTATACAGGGTTTGATAGCTACAGGTATCCAGACTGGGGTTCCCCATGCTGTTCTTCAAAGGGCCACCCTCAGAACCCTTTACATACAGTTGACTAGCTAATGCCTCTTGAGTCATTAAGAAAAATACTTTAAGTGACTCTGGAGCAAAACCTCAGAACAGGAATATAATCTTCAAATACAATATGGGGCTGGGAGATGATCTCAGTCACTAACGTGTTTACCACCCAAGCAAGAGGACATGAGTTTGATCCACAAAACCTACTTTTAAAAAAATGCCAGAGGGAGGGAAGGACAAGGGAGTAAGTGGGTAAGAACACTTGCTACAGAAGCATGAAAACCTCAGGTCAAATCTCCAGCACCTATGTAAAAAGTTGGTCACAGCCACCCACATGCCTATAATGACAGCACTGGGAAGGGTGGAAACAAGAGCATCACTGGGCTTGGTGGTGGCCAGTTTAGCTTCATGGTCATCAAAAGACACTCTTTCAAGGGAAAAGGGCAATTGTGCAGAATACCTGACATCCTCCATGCTCACACCCACCCATATCCCATTTTCACTCACACACACACACACACACACACACACACACACACACTCAAACATATAAGCACACACACATACAAGCATACCCTAGGTTCAATTCCAGCACTACTAACTATGGTTTATACAAAATCAGAGGCAGATTTTTTCTATGACAGATTATGTAAGCTTCTTACCATCTCCATTTGGCAACCAATGGCTTCTAAAAGTGCAGAATCCTGAACAATATTTAACATTGCTCCTGCAATAGCAAAACAAAGGAGTTTACATGGCATACAATTACAGTTACAATGGCTCAGTCAGAATAAGAGAATAACCCTAGCACTCGGAAGCCTGAGGCAGGAAGGAAGGCTGCTATGAGCTGAAGTCACTTGGGCTATACAAGACCCTGTGTCTCCCCTCCCCTCCCTCTAAAAAAAGAAAAGAAAAAAGAGAAATTTTGGTAAAGTATTTCTGAAATTCTCTGAAGATTATGAATAAATATATTGTTTTAAAAAATAATGCTTTATAAATCCCAAAATTCTGATATGCCTGCCAAGATTTTATTTTTTATTTGGGGAAGGGGGTTGCACACATATGCATGCCACAGTATGTGGTGTTATCTTGTTTGTAGTCTAACAAAGCTTGCCTGAAGATCAGAGGGCAGAGCTAGCCACTAGTTAACCATAGAGGTCTGGAGGTCTGTACGGACAGATAGAAAATGAGAAACATATAAGGCGGGAGGAGACATGAGGTTGGCCTTTTCTGGGCCAGGAGTTAGCAAGGAAAGAACTGGCTGTGGCTCGCTCCTTTCTCTGATCTTTCAGCATTTGCCCCGATATCTGGCTCTGGGTTTTTATTAAAAAGACCAATTAGAACTCATGCAACGACAGTGTATGTAGATGTTAGATGACAACTTTCAGGAATCAATTCTCTCTTTCCAAGGTAGGATCCAGGAATGAAACTCAGGTCATTAGTTTTGTAAGACAAGTACTTTTAGCCCAATGAGCCATTTTCTGACCAACTCCAAAGCACACGGGACTAAACTATTTACATTCTTTTATTTCTAACAATGCCATCCATGTTGAACATTATTTTGTTTCCTCTCTCTCTCTGGTTTAAAATATCTTTTTAACATGTAACATTCACATGCACTTCCTAAGTACAGAATTCCCATAGCCCACTTCTCTTGCTTCCAGCTTTGTTCCTTGGCTTTTTTATGTTTCTACAGCCATGTCAACAGTAATGTGAGAATGTGTTATCACTTGTTCCTTCAGCTCCTTGTCAAATTAAACAAGTTTACCTTCTCATTGTCTAGCATACCAGACTTCCTAAGTACTCACCCCAACTACTGGAAGGAAAAAAGAAAGAAAGGGAAGAAAGTTAGGACAAAGAAGAGGGGGAGCGCAGACAAGACAATTAAATGCTTTCTGTCCCTCATCTCATCTCTTCAAATCTTTTTTTAATTGTTTACTACATTTATTTATTTACTTACATATTTGTTTGGGGAGAGAAGGGCTATGTGCAGACCATGGTACGGTGTGGAGGTCAAAGAACAGCTAAAAAGAACTAGGTTCGGGAAATGGGAGGAGGAGAGGAGGTGGAAATTTTTAATTAAAAATAAATAAATAAATGGGAAAAAAAAAGAATTAGGTTCTCCTCTCACCATGTGGAACCTGGAGATCAAACTCGGGTCTGTGAGACTTGGTGGCAAGCATCTTTTAAGCACTGAGCTATCTTGCCAGATCCCTTCTGATTCAGAATAATAAGAGCTGTATCAGGCTTAAGCTCCTCTCACCTGTCTCCCCAGCATACCTTTGGTCACTCGTACCTGGGTTTCATGTGCCAAAAATAAAATAAAATAAAGCAAACAAACAAACAAACAAAAAACTATCTGAACACAAACCTAGTATCATTTGGGTGTTGTTAGGGTCCGTTTCCGTTTGCAAGGCACCGATTAGTATATTCACAAGTCTCAACTTTAGGGACAGAAAAGTTATTGGTTTATCATAAGAAGAGCTGTCATCATTACTAAACTTCCCTTCTAGAACCACCTGGAGAAAAACAAAAACAAATATTTCACGTCACTTATTGTATATGATACCCATTTAGAAACAGCAAGAGGAGAGAGAAGGGGAATAGGCTAATGATCCAGGATTCCAGGCTAATCCCAGCTCCCATTCGACACATGTAATCAGATGCCATTAGCCTATAAACACATGACTAGTAAGTCAAGGCATATTAGCACTTTTTAAAAGAAGAAGAAATACCTAAATTAGAAAAACCTCATTAATCTATTAGAAATATGTATTTATCCATTAGAAACATGTATTTTAAAATGTTTATTTATCTACTGTTGAGACAGGATCTCACTGTATAGCCCTGGTTGGCCTCAAACTCACAAAGCTCCATATGCCTCTGCCTACAAGTGCTAGGATTAAAGGCCAGTATGAGCATGCAGGACTACAAAGTCACTTTTCTAAAGCTCCCATTCCACTTTGTTAGAAGTGCAATTTGACTTAAATTAGCATACAAAAACAAAATATAGAATAAAAAATGTTAATGATGGTTGGCAGGATGTTGAGACAGAAGGATTTCAAGTTTGCAACCAAACTGGGCTACATAGCAAGACCTTGCACCATGAAGAAAAAAAAAAGGAGGGGAGTGGAATATTTAAAGAAACATTACCTCAGATCTGACTGTGCCAAAATGATGAGGGAGGGGCAACAAAGAAAGCAGGATATTAATGGAGGATCTTCTCAATTCTGTTGGATTTACATAGCTTTTGAATTTTGAGAGTTCTCTGCCAAAAAATAAAAAGTTATTAGTATGTTTCAGCTAAAGAGCATTTTTACCTACTGCCAAATATTTACTATACCATTTTTTCCACAACCCAATCATTGTATTTATGAGAACATCTACGTTACACTATTACTTGTATATATGAGAACATCTATGTTACACTATTACTGAATTAAGCTAGAGTTTGACTGAAACCGTAAGGCCTACATTTTAAAAGTAGGATCTCAGGCTGGGTTTTTTCTGACCCATCTAGACCAAGCCAAAAAAAAATCCAGTAAGCCCGTGCACATATCAGACTGAAGGCATCTGGGATTGAGATGCTCTTTACTCAATTTAATGTAGCCTGGGTCCCACTGGACTGTGAAAACAACTAAATAGAGTAAATTAGCAAACACGAGAAGTACCAAACTAGACAACTGACACAGTAGTAAAAAATGACAGCTTACCTGTCAGGCAAAATGGTTTCAAGAGCTGAAATAAAGTAAGGAACCACAACATCAATCCCTTTCAAGTCACAGCAGAACAAAGGAGGGGAGTTTAGAATAACGCTGGCCAAGACAGGATGGCACACATAATCATTTATCTGCAAACCTTGAATTAAAAGCATGTAAAATCTAGGAAAGCAAGAAAAAAATTTTAAACAAGCTGTTGATCAAATATTTCCAGAATTACTATTTTCTACATAGTTATCTGAAAAGCCTTTGTCCACTCTTCACTCTAGTTTATAGACTTTCAAGGTACTACTAGGATTCAACAATTCAGAATCATAAGATCTGTATCTATTATACGTTTTTAAAGTTTTAAATTTTTGTAAATCAAATTACAGGTGCCTACAAAAGAGGTACTAATAACAAAACAAATGCCTGGGTACTTATCAATTAATTGGTGGAATCAATTAATTGAATTCTAAAGCAATAAACTGTTGTTGCATTCACATTCCCAGGAAACAGGTGAGTTTGTACCATTTTCCTTCCTCCATTGCTTCTGAGGGGTTAGTGAGAGGAAGGAAGGAAGCCCACTAAACTCTGCATTCATCATAACATGAAAATTGTGCAAAGAGTCCTTTGAGGAATCTACCTGAATATATTGTCCTTTTCCTACCACCCCCAACTGCACCACTAAGCAACCAAGCCACTAAGCATTTAACTGCACTGCCATACTCTTCTTATCACTAGACACTTCTTTCTTCTCTGCAAAACTCTTTGGAAACAATCTTCTCATTCACTGATGCGTTTCAACTCATTTCAATCTACCTTGTGTGCATAGAACTCAACTAAAAACAGGCACTTAATATGCAGTTCTTGATAAATATCCCACAAGCCCTTGAAATGCAAGGCTGAAACTTAAATACATCATTTGTCTTCTCACAAACCTGCTGAGTTAGTCTCCTGACCTCTCACCCAGTCTTCTGAACTAGACAGAAAGCTCATGTTCATAGCTTTCTCTCTTATTGCTACTGATATAATTTGAGATATCTCTCCAGCTCTCACAGCTTTATGTAGCTAGAGCAGAGACAGACACCTAATTGATCGGATCTTTCCCAAGAATCTCCTGTTATTTCAGAGATGTTTACTGATCCCACTAGTCTTCTAGACTAAGGCTATGACAACTAGGAACTTAGAAGCACACTGCAGTATAACAAAAATGATCTACAGAGAAAAATGAAGCAGTTTTAGGAGACAAGCAGCACAGGAAGGAGAGTTGCTCTGGTCCCTGAACACTTTCCAGCCCCTGGTTCTTACTTTTTATATTCCTCGCTGTACTGCTTGACCTTAGATTCTGTTAAGTATCCCTAGCATCTTTTTAATCTATTCACTGACTTAAAGCAGATTTAAAGATAAGAGCTCATGGTTAAGGCCAGTACACACTATGTTTTTCTGTGCCTAATGCTTGAGACTTGGATTCCTCTGCTGGGAGTCAATTTACCTAATCTTTCCTGAGCACCTAGCAATACAGGTATCTCAATGTTCTACTTGATTGTAATTTTACTTAAGCAGCTGTGTGAATAAGTAGTGGAGAAGAGCAAAAGAGAATAAAAAATTATAAATTTAGAAAGAGTAACAAAATTTGAAGTGCCATAGTGAGAGAAATAAGAGAGTCAAATGCTACAAAGCAGGAGCTGAGTTGAATAATCAACTCAGAGAGAGGAAGCAGAGGCCAAAGATGCCTAGGTTCTGGCCTGAACAGCTAAACTGATGGCAGAACCATCCACAGGTGAAGACCAGAGTTTTGGAAATGATAATCCTACCCAACCTCCCAATAGTTTAAACACTATCCATCCTTTCTAAATTCAGTACAAACATCTAATAATATGCCAGAACTCTTTACTGAGTCCTCTAGACTAAGTATGAGCTGCTGTTTCTTCCAAACACTTAAAACCATTTATCTGTGTCTCCTGCCAACTTCTGGTTCCTACTGAACCACTGCTATTTTTGCACGAACCTATTCACCATAGTCACTAAACTCCTTTGAGTAAAGATTCACAGCTGACTTATTTCTGGACTGTATACAGAACCTAATGTTGTGCCAAAAAAATCTATTAACAAACTGTTACTTCCAAAATCTCTCCAGAATTTATAATGATAGAATAAATAATAGCTCTAGAACAGAACCTTAGAAATCTTTACCAAATCTGATGAGGAGGGTAAAATGGAAGAACAAGCAAGTTTCAATTACATAAAGACACTGGGAAGTATTTCAGACCAAGAATAGCTTATTGATTTAGCCTACCAAGCCATGCCACAATAGTGTTTCACCATCAAATGATACAAATGCGAAAATAAAAAATTCTAAAACCTGGATAAATAAGCTGGCAGAATCTCTTCTCCAGTCTTCTTGCTACAAAAAATTCTACATAATGTCCCACAAGCCTCAGCTCTTCCTGCTTCATAGTTATCAGGAAAGTCACTTGCATCAAACACAGGATTGGAAACCATGGTGTCTGTGGACATTTGGGACCCTTTTCGTCGAAACTCCATGCTAGCTTGTGTTGCAATGGCTGGGGAGAGAAAAGGAGCATTTTATTACTTTTGTCAAAATGCCAAATAGGCTCATGGGACCCTGGACACAAAGATCAAATACTGGTGTCATTACATAACTACTTTAATAGAATCCAATAATGCTTTTGTTTAGCAACTATGTCTTAATTTATTTTTTAAAAAGGGCTCTCTGATATCTTCTTTGAAATGGGTAACAATTTACAATAGCATTGTCAACTTAACAGATTCTACAAAAAGAATTTTTTCACTGAATTTCTAGTCAGAAGATTATAATTGTATACATCTGCATACAGATATATACAGAATTTGCCTTTTCTATTATTTATTTTCTGGTTTTTCCTCCTTCTATAGAATGATCTTAACCATTAAGAAGAGTAGCAATTACAATTTATACAATTAACTCAAATGGACAAAGCAATTAAGAGGGCAAATATATGCCAGTTTGAATACGGCAGAGTAAGGATGAGAACTGAGTAAAGGAGGAAGAGAGGGCATTCCCACCACCCACCCAGCTCCAAAACACACACCAAAGAGCTGCCCAACCAAGCAAATGAGAATGAATTTTAACAACCACAGACAGCAGCAAACTTGAGGTTGATAAATCAGAAAACTGGGTTGGTAAGGAGGATTATCATGGTCATTCGTTGTCACCAAAACAGAAGCCCTTCGAAAGTTGCTTTTAACAAAAGATTTCATAGCACACAGATCACTCTGAAATCTTTTATTACTCTACATAAAATGTTTAAATTGTTTTGTAATGATAGGAGGCTTAATAGATGCAGAGTCAAGCATAAATCTTTATGCAACTTCCCATGAGCCATTTTAGTCCTGAATAAGCTATCCAGCAATAATACATTTGGAAAACACTACATGCAGAATGCATACAAATCAAACACTAAATCTGTATAAAAATAAGCTTAAAGCTTAAAAAAAAAGAAAAAGAAAAAGAAAAGAATAAAAGCCAAAACACAGTTAGTGCAAAGTCCTGGAATTCATGACATGACCAGACTAGTATACAGAAATAATGGGATTGATTCAGGCAGATTAATTTGCTTTTGCCAACAATCTTCCCCATTCAAAACACAGAAAAAATATTTTTCTTCCCAAGTGCAAAAACTACAATAGACAATGACAATCAAAAATTTTAATGGAATTATGGAAAAATAAAAACATGACTGCAATTAAGGAGAAGCTTCTGGTTCCTACTTACAAGATTTATAAGAAAGAAGAATTTGGATAAAAGATGCTGCAAGATAATAGAAATAAATGGAAACAAATCAAAGGACGGCAGTAATTATAAAATACTTTAAAGATGGTGAAATTTTACAATAAATTAAGAAGCTTTTTAGCTTTTTAAAAGTTAGATTTAAAGTTTTATGATACCACAAGCTAATTCAAAAACATAGGAAATTGTGCATTCAGGTCCAAAATTATGATTTTGTATCATGCAAAACAATGAACAAAGAAAATTACATAGCTACAAAGAATTGAGGTTTTGAACTGCCCATAACGTGCATTAAAATTTTTAGTTTATTAACCCTTCCCAGCTCAATGTTACTTTTACAAAGCACAGTGCATCAGGTAAATTGAAAGCTAACAAGTTCAAAGAAGCAAATACTTGAGTTAAAGGTGAACTGCATGGCAGAATTCCTTGATGACAGCCAGTACATAGAAAACACACAATACCCCAACCCCTCTACCTCCCATCCAAGACTTCAAGACTGGTACCCAAGAGCACTCTAAATCCACTTTAACTATTTGGACACCTCAAATGTCCTGGATAATGTAACACCCTTTAGCATCTCTGGACATAGTCAGGAAGAAGGTTCAGAATGGTGGGAAAGTGAGATGTTGCTCACTTGTCATTTGAATTCTGGTTCTATCTTCTAGTGCAGTGAGCAAACCAAGTTGTAACAAACTCTCCAGAGACAGAAAGCTCTAGATTCTCATTATACTAGCCTTCCAGAAAGCAGCAGATTGAGCCATGCTAGATTCAGAGATTGCAAGGCCAACAGCTCCACACTCAACAGCTAGGTAATGTTGTAAGAACTATAACTTACCAAAATAAATAAATAAAAGGCTGACTCACTCTGGACAATACCATATAAACTGATAAACATTGTTCAGAAAATTTAAAATACATAGCACATAAATAATGAAAATATACCCATGAGTGGTTTTTAAAAACTCGTCATTTAATCAAGCTCATGAATGTGGAAATGGTAAAATATAAAGTGACTGAATTTGAACAAAATCAAGCAAAAGAATCTCTAACTCACTCATGCAGCCTCACATCTCATAACATCTTCATACTTAAAACCTTTCTAAATTATTTAAAAGATTCATAAGAACATCCAAAATAATTACACTGATAGAATATTCACAGGCATAAACCTAGCTGTAGATGAATTTCTGAGAAAAAAAACAGAGACCCTTATGAACACTGTTAATTTTATCCCTGAATTCAACAGTCTCCCTAGAGAATAATACTATCAGAAATCTTTTTACCTCAATCTGTCTCCGACCCCTATAGGAAAGTATATTTTTAGAAAACAACTAATACACTCATTATTGTATAAACATGGGACCTGGCACATGCTAACAGCTGCACAATAAATGCCAGCCATTATTATTATTCAACTGTGCAAGACAGATGATAACCATTCAAAACATTCTGCCCGGCCTCACCATCCATCTGGCATTCGCTCCTAGCATAATAGTAAGATGACAAAATACGTCCAATTTCATTTAGACAATTTCATTCTACAGTAAATCTAATGAAGATACTGAAGTTGATTTATTAATACTCTACAAATCTTACAGGGTTAACAGAGCAGATTATGTTTTCACTAGACTAAAACCTGAGAGGTTAGAGACTACCACGAAGAAAACAGAAAATTCCTGATATTAACATGTAATGATGATTAAATGGCTGTGAAAAATCTAAGAATACATTTCAATGAGTAAAATATTTGTTTAAATATCTATTATTATCCTGGCTGACATGAAGAGAATTTCCAGGTCACCTACAAAAAGGAATTTGATTCAACAAAAAGTGATTAACCTGAAGTGTCCCTAATAAAACCAGACAAAGGGCCAAACTTCATAAAGTATACAAAAAAGACAGATAGGAAAGGTTCCCAAGTTTCTATTAGTTCAGCTGGAAGGGGTTAAGCACAATATATTGCTTGGTGAGAAACAGGATGCTTTTCAAGAGCCATATTAATCTTGCAGGTAGGAAAGACTAAAGAGAAAGAAACAGAAAGGGAATGATGACTATAAGTTTCTGGGCATATTTACCAGTCATGCTGCTGTCTCTGTTTATTCCATTATGGAGTTTGCAGTGAACAAATGCTGCATCAAATAACCACGATCCAAAGAGATTTAAGATGCTGTTAACCTTTGGTCTGCGAGGGGCAGGCAGCGGCCTGGGTTCTGAACTAGTCTGATTTGGACTTGACAGAGGAGAAGTGGAGGATGCCTGGTGCTGGACTTTCGAGGTGTGAACAGTAGTAACCTACCAGAAAAATACAAGTTAAGTGTCTACAGTCATGAAAAATTGGAGAAAGTGGCAAGGCTTGTAAAAGTTAACCTTCATAAAGCAAACAACAATGTTGAACGTTCTTACCGCGGTTGTCTTCATGGTGGCCTTATTCACAGTCACAGCCCGGTGCCTCCGGTTATGTGGTGGTGTGGTATTCACAGCAGTGCTCTGAGGCATACTTAATCTATTCACGGGTGTTGGGGGAGCACTGTCTGATCTCGGTCGAGAAATGCCTTTAAAAAAATAATAATAATAAAAGAAAGGTTTTGCCTTTGCTTTTAAGAAAAATGGATCTGCCTCCCAAGGTCCACATATCTTTTCTTCTTAATAAGAGAACCCTATTTCAGTTGAACAAGGAAGCCAGAAGAAATGGCTACAGTTTTAAGCTTCCCTTACCATAAGATGTGGCCATGTTTAAGCTTAGAAATAAGTGACTATTTGATACATCTCCCAGGCAATGTTACAAAAGACAAGCAGGCTCCCCTCTCCTTCCTGACTCCTGGGCTGCTGGGCTCCTCATACTTGAAGGCCTATGAGGACATACACAACAAAATGGACACCGGCCCCACAGAAAGTACTACAGCAAACACACTGCCTGGCCTGCTTCATACTTACGAAAACAACCTTAGGTGTCAAACACAGACAGCATAGGCTCTTATGTGCCAGCAATCTAATCAGAACAAGCCTATTAACTATGTTTTTTCTATTTTTAAAAATTTTAATAAATTTTATTACTTAAAAAATGGCAAAAAAAAAAAAAAACACACACCTTGGAGTGGTGATGGCACACATTTTTAAACCCAGCCTTAGGGAGGCAGAGGCAAGCGGATCTCTGTGAGTTCAAGGCCAGCCTGGTCTACAGAAGGAGTTCCAGGACAGCTAGGACTACTAGAGAAACCCTGTCTCAAAAAACCAACCAAACAAGCAAATTAAACAGAATTAACCTGCAACCAAAGTCTGCACATCTCACTAACCATCCAGCCATTCTGTGCACTCAGTCTAGAGCCTCTCACTGCATTTTACATTTTCACTATCAAAATAAGTGCATATTTTTATGCACTTACCACCAAAAAACAAAGATTTCATGACAGAGGAAAAAACCTCTAAACTGTGTGATACGTTTAACATATACACATACCAACCATTTTAGAAAATAACAACTATTAATATCACTCTTTTTCAACAGATTAAAAATACACAAAAGGGCCAGGCGGTGGTGCGCACGCCCTTAATCCTAGAGGTAGGCAGATCTCTGTGAGTTCGAGGCCAGCCTGATCTACAAGAGTTAGTTCCAGGATAGGCTCCAAAGCTATAGAGAAACCCTGTTCCGAAAAAAAAACAAACAAAACACACACACACACATAAAAAGATACAAGATTTGCGCATCTTACCTATGACAAACTAAAACACTGGTTCACAAAAGGTACAGAGTACCAATGAAAACAGTCAATTTAAATGATTTTTGTGGGCAACGCATGGAATGAGTTTTGCAATCTATAATCTGTTTTGTACATTTTTGGGTCTTTTCTCCACCTTTCTACTAAGCTACTGTCTTTCCATGGCATTTTTTGATTTAGATAAAGACAATAGCATTCCAGCTATCACAATTCGCTGCAAACATTTTTTCCTAGATCATTATTTGCCAGTAAGTTTGTTCCTCTTTCTTCGGGCTTTCCTGAGAGCTTCCAGCATTAAACTGTAGACATTTACACACAGCTCTTCAAACATCTAAGAAATATACACAAAATTCACCTAAAAATGCATCCACCAGACAGCTGATTCCACGCATGGCACGAAAGAATATCTGAGGCAGATGTTTAAGGCAGGGGTACTGGCTCAGCTCCTGTGGCATTCCGCTCACACTCAGGAATTGCTCCTGAAACTTGGGGGTTGAGCTTATAATGGCTGGATTACTCAGATCCACAGGATTACTACAGAAAAGAAGAAAGAATTCGTTACATACTTAGAAATGTCTATAGCAATAAAAATGCATGCAATCTAATTTAAGAATTAGAACTATCACCCAGACATGCTAGCACACACCTTTAATCCCATCACTTGAGAGACAGGGACACACAGATCTCTGTGAGTTTGGAGCCAGCCTGATCTGTATAATGAGTTAATTCCAGGACAGCCAGGACTATAGAGAGAGAGGCTGTCTCAAAAACAAAAAAACAAAACAACAAGAAAAGAAAGAACAGGACAATTTATGCTTGTGTGTGGTGAAGATGAAACTGACTATTTGATGAGATCGGAACTAAAACATGAATGTTTCTCCATAGGCTTGCGGATTTTCTTTGTTCATTTATTTTTTTAATAATGTTTTTATTAATCTTTGAGAATTTAATAAGATGCTTTTGTTTATTTGTTGTTGAGACAGGGTCTCATTATGTATCGCTGGCTACACAGACCATGCTGGCCTTGAATTTACAGGTCCAGTTCTGTCTGCTGCCCAGCCTCTGCCTTCCTGTTCCTTCCTCTAAGTGCGGGTGCTGGGTTTAAAGGTGCTCTTTTTAACATATTCTCTTCACAGAATGAAAATCAAAGTAAAGCCAGAAAGTTTTAACTTTTTAGAATATTTTTTTCTGCTGGATGGTGGTGGTGCACACCTTTAATCCGAACACGGGCGTGTGTGTGTGTGTGTGTGTGTGTGTGTGTGTGTGTGCGCGCGCGCGCGCGTGCAGGTAGATATCTGTGAGTTCAAGGCCAATCTGATCTCCATAGCGAATTCCAGGGCAGTTCGGGCCACTACACAGAGAAACCCTGTCTCTGAAGAAAAAGAAAAGAAACAGAATATTTTTTTCTGATATTTGGAACTAAATAACAGGAAACTAAAGTCAACAAGAATTTCATAAAGAAAATTTTAATATAAACATCTGTCTGCATGTTTGGATGTACCAAGTGCAAGTGAGAATAACATGAGTAAAGTCAACAGGAACTGTGTTGTTTCCCAGGAAAAAGGTGAAGCTACCGTACTAAACAAGAACAGGTTATACTCCACAATACATGCAGCACTCTTCCCAGGAAATCTGCCAATGGACAGAGTGGCCCCTCCTGAGGAATCCTCATAGCCACCCACAGCACACTTAAACAGAGACATAAAAGTTATCCAAAGGGAGTTCATCCAAGGGTTTGTGAGAAACCCAAGACCACTTTAGCCTAATTAACAAAAGTAATTTGGTCTAGTGCACCTCTTTTTGAAAGTCTGAGCAAAAGGAACACCCCAGTAACCTAAAAGAGCTAGAACTGGAGCCACACAGTGTTCATAGTCATTTATACCATTGAATCACATACTCCTGAAAGGCAGGAGGAGTTAGAAACTGGGGAAACAGTCTACCAGAGATAGCATGTACATACTAGAGAAGTAAGAAAACTGAGAAAGAAAAGTATGAGTCTTCTTGATTAAAGAATAACATAGCCTTCCCCAGCTGCTTCTGAGAGTTTAATGAGGGCTCTCCATGGATTCACAGTAACCTCCCTCCCATTTGCTATCCAGATTTCTACTATTTATAAGGATACAAACCCTAACTAAAACATCAGACATCAGTATTATCCCAAGAACAATGCCAAAGATTAATATACCAATTAGGAATGAAGAAATTAAAAAATATGCAACAATTTTTTAATTAAAAGAAATTTTTTATTGGAAACAGGGTCTTTTGGGTTTTTTTACCCTTTTTTGTTTTGTTTTCTCGAGACAGGGTTTCTCTGTGTAACAGCCCTAGCAGTCCTGGAACTCACTCTGTAGACCAGGCTGGCCTCAAACTCACAGAGATCCACCTGCCTCTGCCTCCTAGGTGCTGGGATTAAAGGCATGTGTCACCACCGCCCAGCTTGGAATCAGGGTCTTACTATTAAATTATAGACTAGTGTGAAACTCACTTAATCTCCTATACTGGCTTCAAACTTGTGATGCTCCTGCCTCATATAAGGCTATAGCAACATAAAATAGGCTAGCTTCCCACTATCTTAGCAATACTTACAAATAATGGGATAAGAAATATGCAAATTTTGTGAATAATATACTTCTGTTAGCTATGTAAGATTCTTAAGAGGACTGCAAAGTTGTAACTAGAGTCTGGTAAGAGTTCTCAAGAATTTACTTAGGTATGAAATAGGGGTAAACACTCACTGACACAAAACAGTTTAATCGATGACGCTGATCCAGAGACTACACCCTAGAATTCATAATCCCCAAAAGTCAATGGCTAAAGGGATTGAGCATAGTGGCTTAACCCCAGTACTCAGAAAGCTAAGGTAAGGAAAGTAAGTTCAAGGCCAGCCTGAGCTACACAGCAAGGCCCAGCCTCAAAACAATAAATAAAGAAGGAAAGTATGTCTAAGTGGTAGACTAGATACTTAGTATGTGCAAACCCTAGTGCAATTCCTAGCACCAAATAAACAAAATGTTTAAAAAGAGGCTGGAGAGATGCTTAATGGTCAAGAGTGTATACTGCTCTTCCAGAAGACTGGAGTTTGGTTCCCAGCATCCGCATTGTGACTCACAACCTCCCATAACTCTATTTCTGTGGATATGATGCTTTCTTTTGGCATTTGAGAGTACCCAAATACACAGCATACACTCATATAGAGATACACACACATAAATATAAATAAAATTTTTTTAAAAAAAAATTAAAAGTGAATCCTAGATATATCTAAAATTTTTATTCTATTGAGCCAATGAGATGATTGTGGGCTAAAGCACTTGCCTACACTGGATGATGCAACCATGATAACTTAATTTCAATCCACAGGATCCACTTAAAGTAAGAGAACCAACTTTACAAGATTGGCTTTGGGGCTTCACACATGTTCCATGGCACATGTATCTGCATTCACACACACATCTTAATACACACACAATAAATAAATGTCATTTTTAAAAAAGAAATCACAGGAGAGGAGGGAGATTTACTCTTCTGTGAAACTTAAGGTCTACTTTTCAGTGAAATTTTAAACGAGGCTGCAAGAGGAGGGCACTGAGATCAAGACTGATGAACCAGTACTGACAGAGAGGAACATGGTGAAGTCTCTAAAGGTCTGACAAAGTCCTGGGAAAGACATCATCATCTAAGATACAACAAAACAAGTTTCTAGAGAGGGTTCCAGTAATAGCTGAGGGCAACCCAACCACACAGAAATGGAGAGCAGGAGATACACAATGCAGACATGCATCACAACGCAGACATGTATACTGTTCAGTTCAGCTCCATCCAATGGACTACACTTAGCACTCACATGACACATTCCAAAAGAAGCAGTGTGGCTCTTGCCCTAAAGCACTTACTGGGTAATGAACACATGAAACAACATGACAATACCTTAACATGTGCAAAAATCGAAACCATGTTTGTGCAACACACTCATTGTCCATTTCTGGAGGGATCAGATTGGCATCTTCATCAGGAACTTTAAATGGAGGAAATGAAGGGCCGTATGTAAAGCGAAGCAATCTGGAAAATAAAGCCACACACCACTTTCAGGATTTTGTTTTGGTGAAGTCTCTAAAGATTTGACAACAATACCTTTTGATAGTATTGAGGATTGAACCTAGCTCAAACATTCCAGTCAAGCACTCTAACACCGAGCTATTTTAATTTAATCTAATCCCAACCCACTTTAATATTTTGAGACAAGACCTCACAAAATTGCAGAAGTTGGCCATGAATTTCTGATCCTACCGTTTCTTCCTGATGAACAAAGGTTATAGTCCTGTACCATCAGGTTCTTCTACCAAATCCATTATTAGCAAGATTAAACATACATTCAACCAATACATGAGAAAATAGATTAAAGATACCTCAGCTACATGAAAACCCTGATTTGTAAAAATTATAAACTGCAAGGGATTTCCAGCTTTTAATTTATTAAACTTTATTTTATGTGCATTGGTATAATTGGTGTCAGGTTCTCTAGAACTGGATTTATAGACAGTTGTGAACTGCCATGTGGGTGCTGAGAATCAAACCTGGGTCTTCTGGAAAAGCAGTTAAGTCTTCTTAACTGCTGAGCCATCTCACCAGCCCTGATTTAAGCCAGGCGGTGGTGGCGCACGCCTTTAATCCCAGCACAGGAGGCAGAGACAGGCGGATCTTTGTGAGTGCGAGGCCAGCCTGGTCTACAAGAGCTAGTTCCAGGACAGGCTCCAAAGCTACAGAGAAACCCTGTCTCAAAAAACAAAAACAAAAAAAAGATGATTTAAACTTTTATCTGAAATACTCACACTATTTAACTTATTATTTATATTACTTGCAAATAATAAATTATGTATTTTTGTTATTGTACCTATATAATTACATCATTAAACATAGAAGTAGTATATAGATTATTTTTTTCCTGTTGTTTTGTTAGGAGAGTTGTGGGTTTTGTGTTGGTTTTGAGACAGGGTCTTACTATGTAGCTCTGGTTGATACGGAACTCAATATGGAGACCAGGCTGGACTCAAACTCAAGAGATCTGCGGGCTCCTTCCTCCTGAATGCTAGGATTAAAGGTGTATGCTACCACACCAATTTCTATTATTTTTTAAAAACTGATATCACTTTAAATCCTTCAATACAACTAAGGTATAATTCATTCACAACTTTACCTGAAGTTCAGAATTTAGTATTTATATGTTTAGACTATAGCACATTTTTATGAAGTAACATAAAAGTTAACTGAATTCAACAACTTAATCATTTACTTAATAGTCTATATGTACTAGGACTTTTCAAAGCCATTTGACTCAATTACTCTGTATCTAAGGATTTTATTTTAATAAAACATCAAAATATATATAAAGTATTCCTTCAATAAAATTTCTAAAGTAAAAAACATCAGAACAGCATATTTATAAAAATATGAAATTATTAAACTATGTAAACTATAAAGCTAACTAAAAATACAACCTCAAAAATTATTTACAAATAACTACAGGTAATTAAAATTACTTGAATCAGACATCAAATGAAAAACACAGGTAACAATAATACTATCTCAAATTGGGTTTTTGTTTTGTTTTTAATCATTTGTTTTTACTTTATGTGCATTGGTGTTTTCCCTACATGTATGTCTGTGTGAGGGTGTTGGATCCCTTGGGACTGGAGTTACAGACAATTGTAGTCTGCCACGTGGGTGTTGGGGATTCAACCCAGCCCTTTGCAAGAGCAGCCAATGCTTTTAACTACTGAGCTATCTTTCCAGCCCTGTTCTGTTTTTAATAAAAGGGAATTAAATGGAGAAAGTAAATTTAAAACACAGTTCTGTATATTTAAAAACATTTTTAAGGGCTGGAGAGATGGCTCAGTGGTTAAGAGTATTGTCTGCTCTTCCAAAGGTCCTGAGTTCAATTCCCAGCAACCACATGGTGGCTCACAACCATCTGTAATGAGGTCTGGTGCCCTCTTCTGGCCTGCAGGCATACATGCAGACAGAATATTGTATGCATAATAAATAAATATTTTAAAAAAATAAATAAAAACATTTTTAAGTGAGGGGATGTTTCTTTCACTCTACATTTTCCAGTTTTTCTATTATCAGCACATATAGGCTTTTGCATCAAAACTCATTAAAAGAAGACACAGTATTAGCCATCACCATGACATACCATGATGAGGGGATCAGAGGACAGCTCTGGAATCTGTTCTCTTCTTTCACCTTTACATGGGTTGTGGGGATTAAACTCAGGTTGTGAGGCATACACGACAAGTGCCTCTACCATGAGCCATCTCCCTGATTTCTTTCTTTTATATTGGCTCAGTCTATAAAGTACAATAATGATGGGTCCAGGTTTTTCAAAATACATTCCATGAACCCCATAAGACACAGAACCATAGAAGAATTGCCCCAAGGTCAGAAGGATGAGGAAGAAAATGACCTACCTGGAAGTAAGTGCACAGATGACCTTGCTCCACTGCTCCACCACAGCTGGGTGGTGCCTCCAGTTAGCCACCATCTCCTTGGCTGTCTTCCAATAAGGAGGTGTTGGGAAGCACCGGGTGCAAGCTAATAACCAAACTTCAAAAAGAACACCAATCAACTTCTCTGCTAGATTCTCAGCAATGCCACCTGGCCAATGAAAAGAAACATAACTTTGGTATACTTATTTTTAATGCGACTCATTCATTATACGGGAAAACTGATCAAAACTTAAATAGCTGTAATGTTAATATCAAGTTTCTGAATAACTAAATGGAGAAGCTTAGAAGCAAGCTCCTATGAAGGAATCACAGAGAATACCAATGACTACTTTTTGAGAATTTTCAAATTGCCCTGCTAGTTTTTAGTGCAGATCTTAAGGTTCCAGCTAGGGGAAGACAAAAGAAAGGAAAAGATGAATGCTAACAATGAGTGACCACTACAAGTCGCCTTTCATGCCAAGCACTTCACACATGACCACGTAATCTCTCATTTGTTTCTTCAGGACAGGTATTCGTAAATACCTATTAGCTTTTTGTTTAAAAACACAGTCCTGTAATGTAACTCAAGTTAACCTGGAACTTAACTATGTAGCAAAGGATAACCCTGAACTTCCAATCTTTCTGCTTCCATCTTTCCAGTACTGGGATTATATATCTGAGACACCTTTCGGTATGTCCCCACTCCATTCAGCTAATAAAAAAGGAATCAGAACAAATACCAAGGTCTTCCTGACTCCAAAGTTTGCAACAAAATGCTCCAGGTGCTTTAAGTTGCCCCTGACTGGAGAGCAACAAAAGGAAAGCTAAGCTATGGCACCAGACAAGGGCAAACCTTAAACAGAACCCAGAGCTGTCCTTCTAGTCAAAGTCTGAAACCAGAAAGGGAGGTGGACTTTACTTTGCACAGCTCAAGAAAGTAAAGTTAGGACTAGAAGAAAAAGTAATTAAAAGGTGCATACCAAACAAGCAAAAACCAAAGTTCCAATAATAAAGAACCCAAGGAGGAAGAAAGTTGCCTGACTCACACTTCTGAGATCAGTCACTGGCATGGGGAACCAATAGCGGAGAGCCAATGAAACAGTGCTGTGACTGGGAAGCTACTGTCCAAATGAGATAGTATTCCTATCGTGGGTCCTTTCCCACACTATAATTCCATGATTCCTTTTAAACATTTCCTTGGTCACTGCATTTATCTGACAACACAAGCATGCTAACTTATGTTAGTAGAGAGAATATCAAGAGAATTAGAACAACAGAACCTGGAACTCAAATATCAACTTATAGTTTATGCATAGTGTTTTAATATGCAAAGGAGGGCTTCTGAAATGCTGCAAAAGTAAATAAAACTAGAGGCTTTTAATGGCCAGCTAATAAAGGTCATACTTCCAAAGCAAACACCTTAAGATTTTGAAGGTTTTATTTGCCAAACAAGATGTTTTGTGGGCTGGAGGTAGAGCTCAGTCATAGTGGTTAAGTGTTTGGCATGGGCAAGGCCTTGGGCCATTTCTTTAAGTACCTCAGGGTGAAAAAACAAGATATTTCACTATCATCACCATCAAGTTTTTATACTTTACTTTGATAACAACTTTTTCATCTAGTACATTATCTATAGATCCTAATTTAGCATTTTCTGTTTCCTATAAAGGTTCTATACTACACAGAACAAGCTATTATTCCTATCCTTCTCCAACATGTTTAATTACAAGTCCTTCTCTACATTAGCAAAATACAACACTGAAGGTAAAATAACTTAGACACATACTAACTTTTTTGTTTTGTTTTTTGAGACAGGCTGTCCTGGAACTCACTCTGTAGACCTGGCTGGCCTTGAGCCCAGAGATCCACCTGCCTCTGCCTCCTGAGTGCTGCGATTAAAGGTACGTGTCACCACTGCCTCACTTTTTTCGTTTTTAAGGCAGGGTCTCACTATGTCACCCTAGCTGGCCTGGAACTCACTATGTAGATCACGATGGTCTTGAACTCACAGATCCATCTACCTCTGCCTCCTGAGCTCTGGGATTAAAGGCATGTGACACTACAGCCAGCCCACATTGTGTCTTTCCAGTATAAATTGGTAACTTGGTTTGTCAATAGTTTTACCAAAATTTAAAAATTCCACTGAGTCTATCACTCACTAAGTTTAAATGAGAACTATATTTGGAGTTAAAAAATATAAGGGGAAAAAGTTCATTAACAAACCTTGAACAGTTGGTGGGGCCAGAAGTATGTCATTAATTTGCAGAAGAAACAACAGTAAGACTTCCCAGGTTTCTCGAGCCATGATGGATGACTCACGGGCCAGTTTCTGAATGGCTCTCAGAACCTGTAAGCATAGTCGGATCTGACTGGAGCCCTGTTCCTGTCTGAAGAAGACAGACAGATATCACTGACAGGCCTGGAAGAGAGACAGCAACAGCCAAAGAACAGGAACTTACTGACGCAGAACAGTGGTCCAATGACATTGCCTAAACATCAGTGGACAGGGCTAAGCACAACTCTCCTCAGTTACAGCTAGTTTTCCCCACTGCTCACGTCAGCACCCTGGGAGCTCCACCTACCTCTCCTGTGAGAAATTAGCTTCTGTGAGAAAAGAGAAAAACTAGAATGTACACTTCACCTCTGGATTTTCTTTCTGAAATGTGTCTGGCACATAATAGCAGATATTTAACTAATTTCTGCTAGATGAGTACATAGAGCAGAAAAGTCCTTATATTCTTTTTCAATTTTCTGAAAAACACATTCACAAGAATTCTTCAAGTGTTTACAGTTTTCACAATTACTCTAAAGCTGATATCTGTTATAAGGCTCAAGGGCATGTCCAAAATTGACAAGACATGTCAGCATTTCCTCAGAGAAGAGCACTTGCTACTACTGCTCTAATAAAAACACAGGCATTCCAAAGGGATCCAAGGGTTCCTCAAACAATAGGTACAAAATTCTCTTTAGTCTGTAGGACATTTTTGCTCAAGAAAAGACTTGCTGGGTGAAGTGGGGGCACATGTCTCTAATATCAGCACTAGGGAGGCAGAGGCAAGTGGATCTCTATGAGTTCAAGGCCAGCCTGGTCTACAGAGTGAATTCCAGGACAGCCAGAGCTATATAGTTAAGACCATGTCTTGAAAGACAGAGAGGGGATGGGGGGAAACAACTGTTCCATAAAATAGGTAGAAGAGAAGCTAGAGAATCCAGGGCCTAGTAGCCCTTGCCTCAATTTCTAAGATGTCCCACCTGAGAATTTCAAGAATGGCTTTAATTACTGATGAGCTGGCATCCCGCTTTCTCATGATAAACTCAACACAATACTGATATAAACTCTAAAGTCAAGTTTCTATAAATTGTGACTTAACGCAAAAAGCTGGAGTGTCCTAAAAGAATGTCAGCAGATCATCTACTCCTAAAACTCCCACTCCTTAAGCCTTAGCCATGACCCAGAAAACTGGATCCTACCTTAAAGTTGCAGACAAATGATACATCTAAATAACTAAATGTTCCCTAAAGAAGTCAAAGCTGGACCAGAGAGATGGCTCAATAGGCATGATCATTCACTGTACAATCATAAAAGGACCTAAGTTCAAACCCTAAGGACTTAAGTTTGAATCCTTAGCACCCACAAAGAAAGCTGGGCATGGCTGTGTATACCTGTAACCCCAATACTATATAGGGTGAAGACAGTGGATTCTGGAAGCCAGGCAACTTAGCTGAAATAGCAAGTTTCTGGTTCACAAAAGTCCCTGTCTCAGGGGAATAAGGCAAAGTAATAAAGGAAGACACCCAATTTCCTCCTCTGACCTCTGGAGGTGGGTGCACTCACATTTATGCATGCATCAAACATATGGAGAGGCAGGTGTCCATTCCATTCCACATTCATCTAAAGGTGAAACTAGTCCACAAATCACCATACAGAACTTGACTACACCTGCCTTTGTAACACTATTTTTTATTTACTTACTTATTTTTATGCAGGCATTCTGCCTGTTTGTGTACCAAGTATTTACATTGCCCACAGAGCCAGAAGAATGCATTAGATACTCTGGATGAGAGTTACAGATGGTTGTGAGTCACCATGTGGAGGTGCTAGGATCAAACCCAGGTCTTCTAGAAGAGCAGTCAGTGTACTTAACTGCTGAGCCATCTCCCAAGCACCTTTGTAAGTAAAGTTCTTGTTTCTTAATTTAATAGTCTATGACCACAGAGTTGAGGAGTTACACCACCATATGGCCTGTAATATAGGAAACTTTCACTAGCTAGCTTTTTACAAAAACAAAATTATGGATCACTGCTTTAAGAGACATGTACACATGGATGAAGGACTACATTTCTTATAGTGCAGTATAGCTAAGCAATTAAAACTACAATCAATTTGAAGAGATAGTATATTCTTCACTCAATTATGAAAAAAATACCAGACAAAAATACAAAAGAGAAAGTCACATTAACTTAATCTCTAGCAAAAGGTTAAGGCAGTTTCCTCCATTTTGAGTCAGTTTATATAAAAAGAACTAAGTCAGCTCTGATAACAATTTGATGAACTATCTATTAAATTTTTTAAACTGAAACTTCTAGCAGTTGAAGATTATATCAGAAGTTCCAATATACAGCACTGAAAACATTCACCTAATCTTCATATACTATCACTGGCCAAGAGAACTCTATTACTTAAATCAGTGCCTTTCAGAATTCACTGACCTGTATGCACACACACTCCTGAGGAACAAATAGTAAAAAAATTTATAGTCATACTTTTCAAGAGGGAAAAGTAAAAACAAAAGCACAATTTATCCAAACGCCATTACTGTTTTTCAGCAATACAAACCCAGAATTAAAAGATGGTAAAGTGAAAGAGATGAGAGAGACATAGGGACTAACTTTCAAACAGGATCATTTCATACATACAGTGAAAAATACTGTAAATCAATTCTGATGGGATGTCAAAAAAAGATCTGTATCTTTTTAGAGGAGCCTGTTTAGCTGGAAATAAACATTTCCTGTTGTTTCCATTTAAGGTCAATGAATACAAGCAACAAACATTTAATCCATATTTAAACCCAGCACTGCATTATATTTAGTGTAGATGCCCCCCAAATACAGAAGGCCAGCTGAGTTCCTGTCTTCAAGTTGGTTAGATGGAAAACAAAACAAGTTAAAGGATATGGAAAAAACAATGAGCGATAAGAGAGTAAGATGGGAAATACCAAGCGAATTCCAAGGAGGTGTGACCACAGAGGGGTTGTGTGATCATGTAAGGATTCTAAGACAGAATTGACCGGAAACCACGAAGAGTGAGTTAGACAAGCAATAGACAAGGGAGAAAGAAAATGACAGGAGGACGGGTGAAGACAGGAAAGAGCTTTGAGGGCACTTAGGGGAATGTTTACAAGTCTGACTACAAAGTAAGACTCATACAAAATCAGCTGTGGCTAGTCTAGTTAGGGCCAGAAGGCCCTAGATGGCACTTTTTATGGGGGAGTTTATATCTGACCCACAGAACAGAGTTCTAACAGACTTCTCTTTTTCAATTTGGATTTTCTAAAACAAAAACTTCCTTCTAAATTTACAAAGCTAAAAAATTTAAATTTAAAGAGCTGGTTTTTGAGTAATTCAAAGTCCTTCAGACAGACTGAAAGCGCTAGCAAAAACTTTTCCAAAAGGAGATGAGCCCCACAGCCTCTTTGACAAGCACAAAACAGCCGAAAACACTCATGAACTGGTGGGAAACTACTGCTTTCATTTTATTATTATTTTTACACACATATTTCTGTATTTCTCAAAGATCTGCCATAGGTTATACACATTTCTCAGTGACACTAAGGATGGAACCCACAGCTCTTGGGTATGCAGGTAAATAGTCTGACTGAGCTGTAGCTTTAGCCTCAGAATGTAATATTCTTTTGTTATTTGTTTTTGCTTTTTAAAACCGGTCTCTCTATTAGCCCTGGCAATCCTGGAACTCACTCTACAGAACAGGCTTGCCTCCAGCTCACAGAGATCCACTTGATTCTGCCTTATGAATTTTGGGATTAAATGCAGGAGTCACCACACAGGGTTGGAATGTAACATTCTTAACAATTAGGAAAAAAAATCAAGTAAGATAAATAACTTGCATTTTGGCATTTAACACCTTTGCCTCAGAAGATGGAGAAGAAATTAATAACAAACTTTCAAGGGTAATCTTTTTGTTTATCATAAATATCTGTAAATTCCAGTTTGCTAACCAAATGTTAGGGCACACAGGTTTAATCCCAGCACTTGGGAGATGTAGGCCTGCAGTCTCTATGAGTTCAAGGTCAGCTTGACCTACTTAGTGAGTTTCAGGCCAAGGATATACAGTAAAACTTAATCTCAAAAAAATATCCAACTTCTTTATTTCTTTTTTCTTTTTAGTTAGCTCGCTTATTTAAAGGAGATTTTAAACTTTATTTCAAACTTTTAATTTCAAAATTTTACACTTGTATATATGTGGGGTGGGGGTGGATATTTACATGCATGTCACTCATGTGAAAGTCGGGGGACAACTGGCAGCAGTCAGTTTTCTCCTTCTTCCAAGTAGACTCCAAGAATTGAACTCAGGTCATCAGGCTTGGTGACAAGCATCTTTACCCACTGACCTATCTCATCAGTCTTTTTTGGTTTCTTTAAGACAGTATCCCATGATGTAGTTCAGGTTGGTGGTATTCAACTACTTCTGTAGACAAGGCTATCTTCAACTCCTGATCTTGACTCCACCTCTAAAGTGCTGGGATTATAGGCATGAGCCACCATGCCTGGCCTGTTTGCTTAATTCTATGCTTTCATACACTACAGGGTTATTTAAGGGAAGAACAGTTGCTTTGGTTGTATGTGGAAACAAGAATTATGATATAACAAAAATCTGCACAAGTTGGGTGTATTTTTAAATATTTAATTGGTGTGCATGTGTATGCATATATACCGTGAAGTACACGTGAAGGTCAGAGGACATCCACAAGTGTCCTTCTCTCCTTCCACCATATGGGTCCCAGAGATCAAACTCTGATCACTGGGCTTAGTGGCCAGCACCTTTAACCTTAACCACTGAGTCATTACGCGAGTCCCCCCACAACCCCCAAAAAAAAGTTTAACAAGGGACAGAAATATGTCACCATCACCATATTTTAATATCCAACATCTAGAGTTCACTAACAAGGCCAAAAAGTATTTAAAATAAAAATACATCTATTAAAAATTGTGGTAAATCCAAGAGTGGTAGAACACACCTATAATCTCAGAACTCAAAAGACTAAGACAGGAGGATTATAAATTTGGCTCAATATGGACTACATAGAACGTTCAAGACCAGTCTGGGCTACACAATGAGACGTCATCTCAAAAAAAAAAAAAAAAAAAAAAAAAAAAAGCAAAAACCTCCTGTGAAACATTATGTAACCCTATCTACTTTAGTCATATTAACCGAATCCATAAGTGAATGAGTAAAGTTCAAAGGACGAACAATAAAATCAGCATCTATATTTAATAAAGTAACATTTACAAATACTTTATTATTATCTTAGTAATGACCATATAGGTATAACTTACCTTGGTACAAAAAGATTTTGTAGGTGCTTTAATATACTTTGAACATATAGATTAGGCTCTTTACTAACTGGTAATGGAATAGAATCTTTAGGCAATACCAAAGCCATAATCCAATCTGTATATACATCAACACAATATTTTACAGTCTCTCCATCCAATGGTAGGGTCAATCCATAGCAAATTACTTCCATAGTCCATTTTACCTAAGCAAAGGAAAACATTCACAAAGAATATAGATCTTTATATGTATTTCACTAGATTAGTTTAAAATATAACATCTCCTAGTACCCAGATGCTTTAAGTTGAAAATACAGTCATCTCAACAAATACATCAAATTTATTCTAGACACGTACTTTCTATGTATTAGACATATTCATGTCATACTTTTCAAGCAAATTTCAGGAGAAAGTAAATTCATTATTTTTAAATATTAAGCCTATACACGCTTTTACCCTTTTGATATCATTACCATTCACTCTATGAAATGATCTTTTCAATTTTCTACAGATACTGGGAATAGAATAGAAAATGTAGAATTTGCTCGATTTGCATATGTAAATATGTATCATTTAAAAAATCAAATATATAAATTTAATAACATTTCATCCTCAGATTATGCAATAGGAACAAATGACAGGAAGGAAGATGAATCATTCAACTTATTATACAACTTGTTTTCTCTGTCAAAAAAACACTAAAATGGACAGGTAAGCACACACACAGGTAAAGAGGGATTGAATGGGTAAGGTCTTAACCAGGCATCTAGCTGTACGTACTTAAACTGACCACCTGAAACACTTACTTGTTTGTGCTGTGAATAATAAGATGCTAAGAGAAAGAAAAAAATCTCCCAATTTGGAAAAAAAAATGAAATTATATTCTTAGATACCAAAGCCTAGAAAATTTAAGTGAATTCCAGACAAAAATCTGGGACAAATACTAAGTAGATGATCAGTAAACACTTAACAAAAAGGATGCATGATCACTGAGAACCAGCCTGCTCAAAAAGACCCAGATAAACTTCACTAAGCCTTACTTTGAAGAGAGCAACAACTACACAGTCTTTGCAGTTAAAAACAGTATCTTCATAAATGTCACCACCACAATAACCTTGGCTTAACAGGGTAAACGGGCCTCATTTCACATATCAAAAAAATAAAATTTAGGATGTTTAAATAATTGAGCACACCACTGGTTTACAAATAGTGAAGCTGAAGAAAACCCTTATCTTCAATAAGAAACATAAACCTAGTTTTCAAACCACCAGTTTTGAAGTGTTTCACCAATCCACTAGCGAATGTTTCTGGAATAGGGGTATCCTATGGGTTATAGAATGGCCAGATTTATAAGCAATCAAAATACTATACAAGACAGTATCAGGATAGTGGTTCTGAAATTTTGGGGGGGAAATGAGGCCACTAGCTTACCAAAGGCTATACCAAGTTCCAGTTGTGGTTGCTGTGTGGGGAACTAGAAGTGTGAGCCTTTTCTACTTTGTCTGAAGGTCAAGGAGTTTGAGTTTATTTTTACTCTTTCAAAGTTGTTGACAACAGGTGTGGCTACAAAACGAGACGTCCTGACCCAGGGTGTGGTTACTTGTGTTTTGGACGTTAAGGTGGTTCATACAAATGGATCTGTTCCACTCTGACCAAAGGTCAGAGAATTCAAGCACACTCCTGTGCTCCTTCATTTAAAATAGGAGGCTTGACAGAGGGAGTGGCCACCTACAGGGTACGTGGTCTAGAGTATATCCTACCCAAACACCAAATGCTTTACTCAGGAAATAATGGCTTGATGTCTCAAGTATTGAAACAAATAACTGTTCTGGTTGTCCTTTGTGTCATGTTAAAGCAGTCTTTTGCCTTCTCCCCCCCTTTTGTATTGGGGTATAAAAGCATATGAAAATTAAACTCAGAACTCAGAACTATCCTATTCAGTACTATCCTATGTCTCTGTTCCTCCCACCTAGTATTTCTAATCCTCATACCCCTACCCTGGAATGTATAATCCCACCGTGGCCGGACCACGACAAAAGTCACCACAAAAGGTGATTTATGACACTGCTGCTGTTTTGTGGTGCTAGGGATTAAACCCAGGGTCCAAAGCACAGCAGGGAAGCACTCTACTCACGAGCTACACCACCAGCCTATCTTGTCAAAATTCTTATTTAGGGGGCTGGAGAGATGGCTCAGTGGTTAAGAGCATTGCCTGCTCTTCCAAAGGTCCTGAGTTCAATTCCCAGCAACCACATGGTGGCTCACAACCATCTGTAATGAGATCTGGTGCCCTCTTCTGGCCTGCAGACATACACACAGAGAGAATATTGTATATATAACAAATAAATAAATAAATATTTTAAAAAAAATTTAAAAAAAATCTTATTTAGGTGGTTGATGCTGCATGGGAGGCAGAGGCAAGTGGATCTTTGCAAGTCAAGTCCAGTCTGGTCTACAAAGTGAATTTTAGGCTAGCCAAGAACATACAGTGAAACTTTGTCACAAAAAAAGGGCGGGGGGAGGGGTCATGAGAACAGACCGAAAAAGCCTGTATAAGCTCTACATAATCCTTCTTAGGACCGAGTTCTAAACTTTCAGAGAATCACACCATTCTCAGGGTTCCTTTTAAACTTCCCACTGAGGTTTAATGTCATCTTAGTGCCCTGACACCATGAACAGAAAACTATCTCCCTGACAAGGTATCCCAAGATCCCTTTGGACAGCAAGTTTAGGAATAGCAATTCCAAACCCAGTTCCAACTACCTGGTCTTCTGCAGCACTTGAACCCTGAAGTCAGGCTAAAACAGTCAGAGTGAGGGACACAGGAGAGCTCAATCTCAGAACATATGTGTAGCCAGAAAATCTGACCTAAGTGAGGCTTTCAGTCAGTGGCTACTTATAAACAGAGAGGGGAACTATGCTGACTAGTTTTATATCAACTTGACACAAGCTATATAGTGTGTCATATTCACAGAGGGAACCTTGGTTGAGAAATGTTTCCATAAGTCTGGGCTGTAAGCAAGCCTGTGGAACATTTTCTTAATTTGTGATTGATAGGAGAGGGCCCACCTCTGGGGGTGGTGCCACCCCTAGGCTGGTGGTCCCAGGTTCTGTAGAAAAGTATGCTGAGTAAGCCATGATGAGCAAGTCAGTGAGCAGCATTCCTCCAGGTTCCTGCCCTGTTTGAGTTCCAGCCTTGGTTTTCCTCAATGGACTGTGGCTCTGGATATGCAGGCCAAATAAACTCTTTCTTCTTCAAGTTGTTTTTGGCCATGTGTTTCATCACAACAAGAATATCCCTAACTAGAACAGGAACTTCCAAACAGAAACAAAAATCTGAAGACTGAGCCTAGGGCTTAAGAGTCTGACACATGACTCTCTGTCTTGACCACTTAGCTCAAATGGAGAACTAGGTGTGGCTAGTGTGAAACATCAGCAGCAAAAAGGTAAAAGCCCTTCTTTATATATCTCTCATAGGCCCCAAGTCCCAGCATGCAACTCAAATGAGATAAAAACTAGAACTCACTATATCAGGCAGCAATCCATTAAAAAGTCAGCATGGTAATAGTGCATACTGCTCCTGCAGAAGACCCAAGTTTGATACCCATCAACCAGGCCCTATGCTCACAACTGCCCCTAACTCCAGCTGCAAAAGGATCCAACAACACTAACTTCCACAGGCACAGACTTACATACGTATACAAAATTAACAATAATAAAACCATTGCTAACTATTTTTAAAAGGTCAACACTAAATAAAATTTTTAATGAACAATTCATATTTTCATACAATAGAATGAAATAAAGAAACACTTACTTCTTTGTCAGTTTTTAACAAACTCTCACTACCAGACACTGAAGAGGTACCTAATGCCTGCCCAAGAGGACGGACCACTGCATTCGCCACCTCTCGCCCAACACTCTCTGGATAGCTGTGTAGCACACTGGTATGGCCTTGATCATTCTGAATCACCAAATGCAGTGACCGCCACTCAGAGTACATTGTGCCGCTAAAGTACTATCCAAATGGCACCTGAAAAGACAAAATGGACATGCATGTCAAATTATGCTTATTGCTAATATAAAAAAAAAGTAAAAAATTTATATAAGGCACATAATAAAATGGGCTGCAACACATTAATTCTAAAAAATAAACTGTTTTGGAAAAAGAAAAACTGTATCTAGAGAGGCTGAAGAGATGGCTCAGAGGTTAGGAGTGCTTTCTACTCTTCCAGAGAACCTGAGTTCAATCTGCAGCACCTGCATCAGTGGTTCCCTTCCCATAGCTTCAGTTTAAGGGAATCCAATGCCCTCTTCTGGTCTCTACAAGCACCTGCATTCCCGTGTACATACCCCCACACAGATACACACAAGCACGAAGAAGTAAATATAAATATAAATAAATTGTAAAGCATTATCTAAGTGTTTTGAGCTATTGTGAGATCAGGTGACAAGATGGACCCTGAGAGGTAGTTGAATGAGCACCTAGACAACAGAGTTCCTCTGCTTCTGAGTGAATTCAAGGCCAGCCTAGGCAGTTTAGTAAGACCTGTCTCAAAAAACATTAAGTAAAAGGAGAGATTGAGAATATACACCAATGACAGAATACTTGCCTCAAATGCTAATGCCCTAGATTCAAAACATTAGTATTAGAAAGAAAAAACAAAACAAAAAGCCCTCAAAAGCCCTGAAGCAACCCTGAAGAAGAGGCCATTGTACAAAGAAATGCAAAGATGAGATCCAAAAGCCCCCATAACCAAGGACTTCTCCCCTTCAACAGTCCTAAAACAGAAAACAAATGGGAGATGGAGTGACCTAAGGGGCTAAGGGAGGTTTATGAGTACACACAACACAGCCTCTTAGGTTTTCCTTCGGAGGTATGCTCATCTGGAATTTACCTCTAGGAATAATGCAAGAAAGATTGTCTTTCAGATATGCAGTTGGGTGTGATACCATCCTTGGTGTCACCCATCCCCTCTGCCTCTTACAATCTTCCCACCTCCTCTTCTGCAGAGCTCCTTGAGCCTTGAGGGGAGGGGTTTGATGAAGACATCCCATTTTGAACTGAGTACTCCAAAGACTCACTCTCTACACACTGTGCAGTTGTGGGTCTCTATCTCCAGCAGACAGCTAGTAAAGGAAGAATCCGTTTTCTCCAATGCAGTCTCACTGGGTATACAAACTACCCATGTCCAAAGTAAAAACAAAGCCAATGTTTGTGTGAACTGTTTTTTGTCTCATATTGCTTTGTCTGGGTTTTTTTTTTTAATCTTACTTGTCTTTTGCTTGTATAATACAATTTTGGATTTTGTGTTTTTATGGGTTTCATTTGTGTGTCTGTGTGTTTCTTATTTTCTCATTTTGTTCTGAGGTTTTTGTTTTTTTTTTTTTTTTAATTCTGGTTTGTCCCCACCTCCACCCATTTTTTGTTTGTTTTGTTTTGTTTTTCAAGACAGGGTCTCTCTGTGTAGCTCTGACTGTCCCCAGAAACCCATAGACCAGGCTGCCCTTGAACTCACACAGACCCACCTGCCTCTGCCTCCCCAGAGATGATTAAAAGCACGTGCTGCCACCACCTGGTTTGTTTCCCTTTTTTATTTGCCTGTTTTCTAAAGAGAGAGAAAAAAAGGTGCAGAGTTGGATGGGTTGGAAGACAAGGAGGATCTGGGAGGAGATGTTGGAGGGGAAAACATGATCAGAATATAGTGTATGAATTTTCAATAAAAAATACATTCTTATTTCATTAAATTGAACTAACTTTTTTATCATGTACTATGCTAAAGACATGCTTTAATTTCAGTAGCTTTACAGGGTATTTTTAAATTGTAAAGAAAATCTCCCCATCATTCATTTTAAAAAATTTATTGGCTATTCTAGGCATTTGTCCTTTTATGTAAAATGTATGAGTTTTTTTCTAATTAAAAAAAGAGTATGACTAAAACTTGCTAGAAATCTAATTGAAATTGCCTACACACTATGCTAGGGATCAAACCCAGAACTTTGCACGTTAGACAAATCTTCTACCACTGAGCCACAACTTGAAATTGCTCATATCATTTTGTTTACTAGTGTCCCACAATCCCTGCCTCCATGCTGTAGCTTCAAGGGACTATTGATCACTGCCTGAGCCCACCAATTCTACCATACTCTGTAGAACTTTTTTCGTACTTCTAATGACTGACAATTTTGACCCACCTTATGAAATTTTATCCTTCAAAGTCCAGCTCAGATACCATCCTTTTGCTAAAACTTTTACTCCTAAAACCAGCTTCTTCCCATTCTGAGTGCCTATTAGTCTGTTTATAGAGCTTCACATTCAATTACTGTGTATAGGTTCTCCACCAAGACAACTTCAGTCTTCAGTAAAAACCTCAACTCCTAACATACAATGGATATTAGATATTTGAGAATGTCAAGGTTTGCTTTACTAGTGGGGAAAGAAAGAAGTCAGTAAGTATTCCATCTATTTTACTAAAGTATGGCCAAAGGTTTTTTTTTTTAATTTTCACTTATTTATATTTCATGTTTGAGTGCTCTGTATGTACACCTGCATGCCAGAAGAGGACATCAGATCCTATTATAGATGGCTGTGAGCCACCATGTGGTTGCTGGGAATTGAACTCAGTACTTCTGGAAGGGCAGCCAGTGCTCTTAACCACTGAGCCATCTCTCTAGTCCCCAAAAATTTTATACTATCATATACAAGAGTAAAAATGTTTGCAAGCTAAATTACTAGTAAAACTATGTCAGTCTCCAATATAAAAAAAATAGTTAAAATTTAAATTATTATTATAAATTATTATTAGAAGAAACAAAATTTTAAGAAGGCAACTTTTTTTTTAAAAAAAAGTTACACTTGCTATCAAATCCCACATACAAATAAGAATTATCATGTAAAGCCAGGCGATGGTGGCACACGCCTTTAATCCCAGCACTCGGGAGGCAGAGGCAGGCGGATCTCTGTGAGTTCGAGACCAGCCTGGTCTACAGAGCTAGTTCCAGGACAGGCTCCAAAGCCACAGAGAAACCCTGTCTCGAAAAAAAAAAAAAAAAGAATTATCATGTATACTTTGGATGAAAAATGCAGTACCCTGAGCCTTAACTTTTTTTTTAATATTTATTTATTTATTATGTATACAATATTCTGTCTGTATGCCTGAAGGCCAGTTGAGGGCGCCAGACGTCTTTTACAGATGGTTGTGAGCCACCATGTGGTTGCTGGGAATTGAACTCAGGACCTTTGGAAGAACAGGCAATGCTCTTAACCACTGAGCCATCTCTCCAGCCCCCCTGAGCTTTAACTTTAAAAATTATGATTCAGTAGGTTTTAGGCTAGAGCATGGGGACTTATTATTATTATTATTGATTTTTATTTTACATGCATGGTTGTTTTGCCTACATGTCTGACTGTGCACCTAGTGCATGCAATACCCTTAGAGGTCAAACGGGGGTGTCAGGTTCTCTGGAGCTGGAATTACAAATGGTTACTAGCAATTATGTGGCGTTAGGAACTGAACCCAGGTCCTCTACAAAAGAAACAAGTGCTCTTAATCTGAGCCATCTCTCTCATCCCTAAAAAGTTACTTGCCCCCTGTGTCTGAGCACCTTTGGTAAGTCCCAGTCTTTGGAGGCCCCATCCCTGTGCCCGCCAAACCTTGACTCCTCTCCAGAGGAGGGTCAAGACAGCCCGCCAAAATCTTGACCACTCCCCAGTCTATTTAAACTGCTCCCTGGGAAAGTCTCCTGGTGGTGGTGGTGGTGGTGGTGGTGGTGGTGGTGGTGGTGGGTGTCTGTCCCTGTGGTCCCTTCCCAGTTCCCCCTCGGGGCCACCCAAGAGCACAGGAATTCCATTAAACCAGGGTATTTTTTAATTTGGCTTGTTGTGATTTGGCTTGATTGGTATTTTTGCATCAGCAGAGAGCTCATGTTAGGAAAATTCCTAACACCCTTATCTGTAATATTCTCCCACGAGGAAGAATAGCCTGTTTCACTGGTATTATAAGAATTAAAGAATCACATACATGTTATACTTGGGACTTGCCCTAGGTAATAGTTGTTATCATAATATGATAGCTATTCAGTGGAGAATGCTACATATTATGATAACAACTAGGTAAACATGTATAACTCCAGATTAGAAATTAGAAGGATAAATGAAGGTAGTACTATTAGTACAATTTGATGCAATAAATTTATACTAATATTCATGTCAGAGAATTGATAAAAATGTCAGCATCCTGATTACTTGTGACCATTCAGTCATTGGAAATCACCAAGCTAGTAACCATCTATTACATACAATGAACAGTGTTAACACCATTGAAATGACTAAGAGATGTGGTTCCTGTTTTCAATTAGGTTACAGTTTAGCACACAACAACTATGATGCAAATTGGAACATTTAGGATGATAAATGCAAAAATTATAAGCAACTACAGAAATTCAGGGGAAAGCTTACTTTTGATTCAAGAGTGAATGAAAACAGGGTAGGTTAGGGGTAAAAGAAGGCTATGGGGCATATAAATTGGACACTGGTTATAAGAAAATTGGATGGATAGGAATGAGGGTAAGAAAGGGCAACCATAAAAGAAGACATAAAAACAGGGAGCAGAGGATAATGGTAAACACCTGTAATTCCAACACTAGAAAGGCCAAGGCAAAGATTGCAAGTTCAAAGCTATCATAGGCTACACAGTAAGATTCTTCTGTTAAAAACAAAAAAGTAAACAGATCTGGAGAAGTGGCTTAACAGTTAAAAACAGAGGGCATGAGTTCAAACCCCCAACACCCGCATCAGGCAGGTCACAACTGCCTGTATCTCAAGTTCCAAGAATATGATACGCTTTCTTGCCCTCCCTGGGTACCTGCACACCTATGGCATATACATACACAGAAAGACACAGAACAGATACACAGACAGAGACTGTCATACAAACACGCGCATGCACACACACACACACACACACACACACACACAGAGACACACACTTTTCTAATGTTTTAAAACAAATTCACATCAGGGACAAGATGCGC